CTGTTTCCGATTCTGTGTCTCCCTGTCTCTCTGCCCCTCCCCCGTTCATGCTCTGTCTCTCTCTGTCCCAAAAATAAATAAAAAAAAACGTTGAAAAAAAAATTAAAAAAAAAATAAATAAAACAATAGTTTAATTCATTCATAACTTACATACCATAGAATCCATTTAGAGTGTACAATGTAGTGTTTTTTTGGTATAGTCAGAATTGTGATGGTATCACAATTTTAGAACACTTAAATCACTTCTAAAAGAAAGCTGGTACCCATTAGCAGTCATGCTCCATTTCTCCTGCCTCTGGCAACCAGTAATCTTTTTGTCTATATGGATTTGCCTTATTCTGGACATTTCCTACAAATGGGACTGGCTTCTTTTGCTTGGCATGTTTCCAAGTTTCATCCATGTTGTAGCATATATCAGTACTTTGGCCTTATTTATTGCCAGGTTATATTCCATTGTATGGATATCCCACGTTTATCTATTCATCAGTTGATGAACATTTAGGTTGTTTCCATCTTTTGGCTATTATGAATAATGCTGCTCTAAACATTTAATCACAGGTTTTGAAAAAGCTGACATTGATGATTTTTGCTAGTGTTTTCACTTTTTTAGATAAGTAAATTTTTGCAGGTCCTTACTATGCCATTCTTCAGGGTGATTACCTCTCCTGTGGGTGTCTTGCCTCCTTTCTCTTGTTGACTGTGGTTAGTAATAGAACAAGATAATCTCAGCTACTGAACTAGTTACTTCTGTACTTCTACCAGAAGTTAAACTATCTTATAATAACACAGTTTAAATAATATTGCATACTATTGAAGTAAGTTAAAATTTGTAAAACTCAGGAAATGATTTCCTTTTTTAGCTCAAGGATCTAAATGTACTTGATCGCTGTATAAAAGAAACATTAAGACTTCGACCTCCTATAATGACTATGATGAGAATGGCCAAAACCCCTCAGGTAAGTCTCTTGGTTAGATTTCCCCTTTCGTGTGTCCAGTTTGTATTTATCAAAAAGAAGAAATATTATAATAGCAAAGAGAATTTTTCTAATTAAGAAAGAATAATCATTTCTGTGTAATTTCAATTTTATGTATTCTAACTCTTGATATATAATTATATATTCAATTTATACAGATATTTTTATATAAATAATTGCAGAATATATACATTCTAATCTGTTCCCTGCATTTTTACTTAACAATTAGGGTTTTTAAAATGGTAATATATTTTTTCTTGGTTTAAAAAAAAACATGTTAAAGAAAATTCTGACAGTATGGAAGAATATGAATTGGATTATGAAGGCTCCTTGAAATCCCTCTGCTACCTCTGAGGCGTTTATAGCTTTTTTTAATTTCCAGCCCCATTTTGGGTCACTTGGAAGTCATCTTTAGTTAAAATAATTTTCAGCTGGCCTGTCATCTAGCTAGTTTTTAAATATAAGTATAGCTCATGTGGGTTAATGCTTTATTACACAGTGGTCTGGTTATTTGGTAAAATATTGTTATATTTTCTAAGGAAATGTGTTGCTTTCATTTGTAGACTGTGGCAGGGTATACCATTCCTCCAGGACATCAGGTGTGTGTTTCTCCTACTGTCAATCAAAGACTTAAAGACTCATGGGTAGAACGCCTGGACTTTAATCCTGATCGCTACTTACAGGACAATCCAGCATCAGGAGAGAAGTTTGCCTATGTGCCATTTGGAGCTGGTGAGATACCATTTTACATTTGGAATTTTTGTTCTGAGAATGTGTTGATGTTTGTCAAAATAACCCATGTGAATTTTATTTACAAATACCTTTTCCTTTCCTCATACGGACATTTCTGTAAACATTTGTATGAGTATAATCTTTGCCAAGTTAGAAAAAGTACTTTATTTGTACTAAAGGAAATAGTTTTATGAATTTTTACACAATGCTCTTTTACCTTTTAACCAATTTAGTTTTATCAGGGTTAATTTTGATAGTTCACTCTCTTTTCCCTTAAAATAGTATTTAAAGCTCTTTATGAGTTGTTTTAAAGAGCCACTGGAATTAGCACACCATTCAGGCAGTTATTTCAGATTAAATATTACAGCTTACTAGTGTTTGTTTCAGAAAAGAGTAAAAGCAGTCTTTTTTAAATTGAAAATTTTCTGGATTGTTAGTTAACTTTTTGGTTCTCTGCCTGTATCCTTAAGATAAAATGGTCTTTAAATTTGGGCAGGTTGTGCATAGGTTTGCAAACGTACGTTTGAAAACGTACGTTTTCAGTTAATACCCTTATATTATCCAGGCAGACTTTTGTTCCTGCAGTAGTTTCCCATTTCACTGGTACTGTGCAGATTAAACTGTATTCTAGAACTTCTTGTTCAGTCTTTCCAGAGATTTTAAGTGGTGTGACCTTTTTGTCATTGGTCACACTTTTTCCATACGTAAAGGAAAGTATAAAGTCCTTTAGGAACTTCAGATCTTATTATCTTATAAACATATTTAATAATATGGTATACAAAATATCATATGAAAAAGTCATAGATTATTCAATTACCTGGCTTCCACTTGAACTTATTTAGGTGACAGGTGGCTCAGTTACCTTCTATGGTAGCTCACTTAGTTTTTTAGACAGCTCCCATTTTTAATTTTTTTTTTTTTAAACGTTTATTTATTTTTGAGACAGAGACAGAGCATGAACGGGAGAGGGGCAGAGAGAGAGGGAGACACAGAACCGGAAGCAGGCTCCAGGCTCTGAGCCATCAGCCCAGAGCCCGACGCGGGGCTCGAACTCACGGTCCGTGAGATCGTGACGCTCAACTGACTGAGCCACCCAGGTGCCCCAGACAGCTCCCATTTTTAAAAATTTGTATTAGAGCTATAATCTGGGGGCACCTGGCTGCCTCAGTCAGTAAAGCATGCGACTCAGTCTCAGGGTTGGGAGTTCAAACCCCACATTGGGTGTGGAGCTTACTTTAAAAAAAAACAAACTGCCATCTGTTTCAACATCCCATTTACAGTCCTAATTGTGTTCTCTGAAGCTGTATTATGTATCTCTGAGCTATCTGAATGTAGATCTAATGTTCCTTCAAATCTTTTCATCACTGTGTTAGTTTCCTAGGGCTACTATACCTCCCACAAACTGGATGACTTAAAAGACATTTAGAGGCACCTGGGTGGCTCAATCGGTTAAGTGTCTGACTCTTGGTTTCGACTCAGATCGTGCTCTCAAGGTTCATGAGTTCAAGCCCCACATCAGGCTCCACACTGACAGTGCAGAGCCTGCTTGGTATTCTGTCTGCCCCCTCCGCTGCTCATGCTCTAAAAAATAAACTTAAAAAAAAATGGACACTTATTCTCCATTTCTGGAAGCTGGAAGTCTGAAATTAAGGCGTTGGCAAGGCCTTGCTCTCTCTGAAGGCCCTAGGGGAGTGTCTTTCCTTGCTTGTTCCTAGCTTTCACTGGCTCTTATAGTCTTTGGCATTCCTTGGCTTGTAGCTACATCACTCCAGTCACTGCCTCTGATTTCACATGGCCTTCTGCCCTTCGGGTGTCTGTGAGTCTTTGCATTGCTTTCTTTTGAAAGCCGCCAGCCTTGGATTTCAGGCTTACTCTAACCAAGTTTCACTTCATCTTAACTCATTATATCTGCAAAGTCTGATTTCCAAATAAGGTTACTTTTGAAATTCTGAGTGGCTGTGAATTTGGGGGGGACACGGTTCTACCCCATATGATTGTGTTAAGTATGTCCAATTTCTTCAGTCATTCCTTTACTTTGTAATTTTTTCTGTGTTGGTGCGTATAGCATGTAGCTTACTCATTTTCATATTACGTTTTGTGAAATTACCCATTTTTCTGTTAATTCATAGGACACTTCTAGTTTGCAACTATTAAAAATAATCTTTTGGTGGTGCCTGGGTGGCTCAGTGGGTTAAGTGTCTGATCCTTGATTTTGGCGCAAGTCATGATCTCACAGTTGTGAGGCAGAGCGCTGTATCAGGATCCAAGCTGACAGCGCAGAGCCTGCTTGGGATTCCTTCTCTCTCTAAAGCAGGGGCACCTCGGTGGTTAAGCATCCAACTTCAGCTCAGGTCATGATTTCAGTCATGGGATAGAGCTCCCAATCAGGCTCCATGCAGGATGTGGAGCCTGCTTTAGATTCTTTCCCTCTGTCTGCCCCTCCCCTCCTCTTTCTCTCTCAAAAATAAATAAATAAAAATAGTCCCTTAACCAGTCTCCCTGTAAGCCAAGCCTCTCCTTAGTAGTTGTATTTGAATATGGAATGGTTTGTAAACACCCTTCTTAAATGTGGCTCCCTAGAAGTAAGTGCGTTTATGGACCACACTAGTGCTGTGCTAATGATAAGCATTTTATGTTAGCTTTTTTCTCTGTTTAATCTTCACAATCACACTGAGGAAGGGACTATTTTATTCACTTTTCAGAAATGGAAACTAAGGCTTAGCAAGGCTTTTCTTAAATTCCAGTAATTTAGCTTTATCTTTTTCTGCTCCCTGAAAAGCCATCTTTGTTGTTGAGTTTACTACTTTATGAGGTTTTGATGGGCAGGAGAGATTGCAAGGCATTATTCTTTCTGGCTTAAATATTTCTGATACCATCTTTTATGAAGTTTGTCTCTCTGGCTGTTATATATAAACTTTTAAAAATACACAAATTATATTTTCTATTATTAAAATTTCCCCACTATTTTAGTAAGAAATTTCAAAGTCAGAAGAATTTTTTTGTGAACATTTGTATACCCATTATCTAGATTCTGCCATTCATATTTTACTTATCACATATCTGCCCATCTATCAATCCATTTACTTTTTAGGTGTATTTCAAAGTAAACTGTACACATCAGTGTACATCTCCCTGAATTTTTCAGTGAGTATATAATTTACAGTTCAAAAATTTAATTTTGGTAAGTTTCACAGTGAAATAATTATTAATGTTGAGTTTTCACACATGAATAACCAATTAAATCTAGTTTATCGATTTTTAAAATTGTTACTGCTTTCTGGTCCTGTCTAAAAACCTTTGCCTGGCCCCCAGTCATGAAGACATTCTCCTGTTCTTCCCTATTAAAATTTGATGGTTCTATTCAAGTCACATCGGGGTTACCCCAAACCAAAAATAATAATTAAAAAATTGACAGTTTTAGTATTTATGTTTACGTCTATGATCCATCTGGAATTAGTTTTTGAGTATAGTGTGAGACAGGAATTGAGGTTTGGTTTTTGTTTTTTTTAATGTTAGATATCTAGTTATTCCAGCACTATGTTGAAAATACTTTCTTTTCTTCATTGACTTGCTTTATTTAGTGCCTTTGTTGATAATGAAATAACCCTAAAAGTATGTCTTGGCTCTTTGCTGTATTCCACTGATCTGTAGGTGGAGCCCTATCCGGGACCAAATTGCTGTGAAAGGGAAAATCCAATTTCTACTGCGACTCTCAGAACACTTTATTGACATTTCTGGTCACCAAATGTGTGGTGGTTTTCCCACACCAATTCTCTGTGGACACCCACTGGGTGTTTGACAATTTAGCTCGGTTCTGACACTATCCACCTGGGGTTACCACAGACCCCAATGGTTAAGGGCTTAGTCCCATACCAACTGCAAGTCCAGGTTGCTGCCTGTTTTTCTGAGTAGTTGGCTGTAAACCAGAGGTTTTCTGGATCCCCACCTTGGAGTTCCACAGTTTCTTAAAATGGCTCACAGAACTCAGAAAAGTTTACTTACTGGATTAACAGTTTCTTACAAAGGGAGGATGCAACTCAGGAACAGCTAATTGAAGAGATGCTTAAGACAATGTATGGGGGAAGGGGCCCAGAACTACCATGTCCTCTGGGCACACCACACTCCTGGCATCTCCACATGGTCACCAACCTGGAAAGCTTTCTGAACACTACCTATCCATCCTTCCATACGATAGGGATTTTGTGAAGGCTTCATTATGTAGGCATGATTGATTAAATCATCAGCCATTGGTGATTAATTCAACCTTCAGTCCCTCTCCATCCTAGAGGTCAGAGGGTGGGGCTAAAAGTTCTAACTCTCTAATCACTAGGTTGGTTTCCCTGGCAGCTGGGCCCCACTCTGAGGGGATTTCCAAAAGTCTCCTCATTAACAAACTCAAGTGTGGTTGAAATGGGCCTGTTTTGAATAAAACGTCCTCTTCTTTTATTGCTCTTTTCACTTAAATTCCAAGATGTTTGAGGAACTCTCTGGCAAGAATGGGAGGAAGAACAAATACCTACTTATTACAGATCAACATCACAGTTGTTGCACCTTTAGTATTGAAATCAGGTTTGAAGTTTTAAGTCTTCTAACTTGGTTTTCTTTTTTTTCCCAAAGACTGCTTTGGTATCCTAGGTCCTCCATTGCATTTCCATATGCATTTTCTTAAAAGTTTTTATTTGAATCTAGTTAGTTAACATACAGTATAATATTAGTTTCAGGTGTATAATAGAGATTCAGCAATTCCATACATCACTTGATGCTCATCACAAGTGCCCTCCTTAATCCCCATCATCGATTTCCCCCATCCACCCACCCACCTCCCCTCTGGTAACCATGTTTGTTCTCTACAGTTAAGAGTCTGTTTCTTTAAATGCTTATTTATTTTTGAGAGCGCACACAAGCAGAAGAGGGGGCCGGGGGTGGGGGGTGTAGGGACAGAGGATCCGTGCTGACTGTAGACAGCTCAGTGCTGGGCTCAAACTCAAAACTGCGTGATCATGACCCAAAGTTGAATGAATGCTTAACTGAGCCACCCAGGTGCCCCAAGTGTCTGTTTCTTGGTTTGTCCCCTCTCTTTTCCTTTTTGCTTGTTTTCTTACATCCCACATGTGAAATCATATGGTATTTCTCTCTCTCTGACTTATTTTACTTAGCATAATACTAACTTCTATCCATGCCATTGCAAACAGGAAGATTTCATTTTTTACAGCTGATATTCCATTGTGTGTGTGTACACACATACACCACATCTTTATCCATTGATAAAGTTGATGGATACTTGAACTGTTTCCATAATTTGCTGCTGTAAACATTGGGATGCATGTATCCCTTCAAATTAGTATTTGTGTCCATATGCATTTTAGAATCAACAGTTTTTACATGTATTGACATTTTACATTTTGATCTTGATAGGTGTTGCTATTTGGGGATTATTAAATCCCTTTTTCTTATTTTGAAAGATTTGAGGGGTTTTTTTTTTTTTTTTTAAAGATTTCATTTTAAGTAATCTCTATATCCACTGTGGGGCTCAAACTTAAGAGTCACTTGCTTTACCAACTGAGCCAGCAAAGTGCCCTGGCATTGAAAGTTTTGAAGGGTTCATATTGACTTTTAACTAGGGCTCTCTTGGGACAGAAGCTAAGAATATTCTAGATTTCAGTCCTTACATATAAACTTGGATAGATGTGACATTTCAAAAACTAATTGGAAGAGTCCTTATATAATTATCCACGTGTTGTTTCCCCTAAAAACAAATGTTGAAAATCTGGGATTTTTTTTTTTTTTAATCACTCCAGGTGAAAAGAATTTCAACTGATTCTTACGAAGACTTTCTTTTTTTCAATAGGGCGTCATCGTTGTATTGGGGAGAATTTTGCTTATGTTCAAATCAAGACAATTTGGTCCACTATGCTTCGTTTATACGAATTTGATCTCATTGATGGATATTTTCCCACTGTGAATTATACAACCATGATTCACACCCCTGAAAACCCAGTTATCCGATACAAACGAAGATCAAAATGAAAAAGGCTGCAAGGAACTAATATGTGGAACATCACTGTAAACTGCAAAAAGCATTTGAAGTGAATGAAGTTTACGAAACAACTCGTGGTATATTCTTTGAGTGTAATTTTAAAAAGCTTAACTTATGGTTTTTATATTTTCTTAACTGAATGGTTACATCAAATCTAATGGCATTTGAGGTATTTCCTAACCTAATAGTTTTATGATGGGTATATACTGTAGATGCTTTATTTAAGAAAATCAAGTTCATTAATAAGGAATTAGGGTGATCTTGGTAATTGACAGACTCTAAACATAGTTTCTAGATATTAAATTTAACAACAAAAATAGCTCTTGGCAAATAAGTTCAGGGTATTCAAATCATGATCTATAAGTATAAATGCCTAAGGAGATTCTTAGAAACCTTAGGTTATTTACTCGGTAATGTTTGTGTGTGTGAGTGAAGATGAGTGGGTAGGGAAGAAACTCACATTTAAAGCCTTGGATAAAAGAGAATCCCATCGTTGTTTTGGTATGATGATACCCAGCAAAGATGGAGCTAGGCTGTAGTTGAATGTCCTTTGAAATTTTAACTGGAAGTATTGTCTCCAGGAAATTGAGACTTAACAGTGACTTAATAATACTAAAGACTGCACATGTATCTTGATCTAATTATTTAAATATTACAGATAAATTTGTATCTGGTTCCACATAGTCACATGTGTGTGAAAGCCCAAAATAAAGTCCTTAAAGGATACTTTTTGTTCTCTTTGGCTCTAGGTGGTTTTCTTCCTCCTCTCTAGAATTAGGGATGTTTCTGTTATTCTGTTTATTAAAACTTAACGTAGGTTAGTAACTTTTTTTTTTTTTTTTAAATACAAACTTGGAGATCTGGAACTCTGGCTTTAAGATAAAGGTAATATAAAGTAGGGTCTTTGGGGGTAGTATCATTGGTCACATTGTGTTGAAGCCTGTGTTCAAGAATCAACTCGAATTATAACTGGGGGCTTGACTATATACCTGTAATTTAACCACATAGTCTGTTTTCACTAGATAAGGCCAAAATATTTTCCTTCCCACTCATGTTAAACTATTTCTGAAGGAGTTTTTCATTTCTTGAAATGGTCTCTGAGAAAAAATGTAGTCTATTCACTAATTGTAAAGTGGTGTTTCAGTGAGAATTCAGGAAACTAGGAACTTGGGATGGGAAAAAAATTCCATCTTTGTACTAATTTCAAACTATTTCCTTTATGAATTTAAGCAACAAACTATACATTGATATACTAGGCTAGTATATACTAGGCTAATGAAAATATCAATATAGCTTTAAAAAAATACTACAGATGTGAAGTTGATAGAAATGTGCAAGAGAAACTCTTCCTCAAGAGGGAGAGAAAAATACCAATACTATCTAAGATTAGGACAACTTTCTGAATCTCAAAGTATACATATTTGAGATAATGAAATAATCTGCCCTGCCAAAGACTGAATGTTTGTTTCCCCCCACTCCAGCCCAGATTCTTGTTGAAACCCAATCCTCAATGTGATTGTATTTGGAAGTGGGGCATTTGGGAAGGTGATAGGATCATGGGGGCAGAAGTCTCATGAATGGGATTAGTGTCCTTACAAAATAGACCTCAGCTCCCTTGTCCCTTCTGCCATGTGAGGACAGAGCAGGGAGATGGCAGTCTATGTTACCTGATACCAAATCTGCTGGCACCTTGACTTCTGACTTCCCAACCTCCAGAACTGCAAGAAATAAATTTGTTTATAAGTTATCTAGTCCATGGTATTTGGTCACAGCAGCCTGAGTGGTCTAAGACATACACCAAAAACTATGGCTCAAGGATTAAGGACGTTCCAAAAAACAGTGTGGTTAAAATGGTGAAGTCATTTTTATTTCAGTACTTGACAAAATACCCCATAAAATTCAAAACTTCTACCATTATACAAAAATAGGTCTCTACAAGTGATATTATCTGTCTTTATCACCAGTAGCAAATATATTAGGGCAGAAACATGTAACTTCAGTAGCCTTATAAGAAAAGTGCAGGACACCTCAAGCTACACATTCAGCAGTATCATAATGCGCAAAAGTTTAATCTTTTCACCCATTTGATAAATACACAAGGTTTATAATTTAATCATTTAAATTAGCATTCCACAAATATACATGTAATTTAATGATTATTGTGCATGAATACATACACAATGCTAATATATACAAACTCCAGTTTGTTTTCATGTGCTGGCAAGGGATTTGTATACAATCATAAGCTGTGTTCATGTTGGTCCCGCTGAATATCCACAATACAAAAGCACAAAAGAACGAGTGATTTACAAAAGGGAATTTGTTTAAAATCACTTTGATTTATGTTTCAAAGGATTATCTTCTCATGCCAGCATGAAACTGGGTTGAACCTATGAGAGAAAAACAAGATATGTAATTTATTTCAAATTAAATTGCGATCTATACCTGACCAATTAGTACAGGCATTCTCTGGAGATGATGCAAGTCTGGTTTCAGACTGCTGTAATAAAGTGAATATTGCAATACAGAGAATCAAGTTTTTTTGTTTCCCTGGGCAAATAAAAGTTTATACTATACCGTAGTCTATTAAGTGAGCAATAGCATTAGGTCTAAAATATTATTAAAAAATGTTAAACATCATCTGTGTTTTCAGGGAGTTGTAATCCTTGCTGGTAGAGGGTCTTGCCTTGATGTTGAAGGCTGCTGACTGATCAGGGTGGCTGGTGGCTGTGGCAATTACTTCAGATAAAACAAAAATGAAATTTGGATTGGCTCTTCCTTTCATGAACAATTTCTCTGTAGCATGTCATGCTGTTTGACAGCATTTTACTCAGTGTAGAACTTCTTTCAAAACTGGAGTCAGGGCACCTGGGTGGCTCAGTTGGTTAAGTGTCCGACTTCAGCTCAGGTCATGATCTCACAGTGAGTTTGAATGCCGCATCAGACTCTGTGCTGACAGCTCAGAGCCTGTATCCTGCTTTGAATTGTGTCTCCCTCTCTCTCTGCCCCTCCCCTGCTTGCACTCTGTCCCTCTCAAAAATAAACATTTAAAAAATTAAGAAGGGCCCCTGGGTGGCTCAGTCAGTTGAGCGGCTGACTTTGGCTCAGGTCACAAACTCACATTTTGGGAGTTTGAGCCCCATGTCGGGCTTCTCAGAGCCTGGAGCCTGCTTTGAATTCTGTGTCTCCCTCTCTGCCCCTCCCCTGCTCACACTTTGTCTGTCTCTCTCTGTGTCTCTCTCAAAAATAAATATTAAAAAAAAATTTTTTTTAATTAAGAAAAAAGTGGAGTCAATCCTCTCAAACCCTGCTGCTTTATCAGCTAAGTTTTATGTAATATTCTAAATCCTTTGTTGTCATTTCAACAGTCTTCACAGCATCTTCACTAGAAACAGATTCCATCTCAAGAGACCCCTTTTTTTTGCCCATCCATAAGAAGCAACCCTCATTCACTCAAGTTTTATCATGACATTGCAGGAATTCAGTCACATCCTTAGACTCCACTTCTAACTCTAGTTCCCTGGCAGTTTCTACCACATCTGCAGTTACTTCCTACACTGTAAGTCTTGAACCCCTCAGAGTCATGGAAGAGGGTCGAAATCAACCTCCTCCAAACTCCTGTTCATATGGATATTTTGACCTCTTCCCATGAATCACATACGTTCTTACATCTAGAATGATGAATCCTTTTTTTAAGGGTTTTGATTTACTTTGCCCAGATCTGTCAGGGGAATCACTATCTATGGGAGCTAGAACCTTACAAATTATATTTCTTAAGTAATAAGACTCGAAAATCAAAATTACTCCTTCATCCATGGGCTGCAGAACGGATGCTGTGTTAGCAGGCATGTAAACATTAATCCTGTTGTACATCAGAGCTTGTGGGTGAGCAGGTGGCATGGTCAATGAGCAGCAGTATTTTGAAAGGAATCTTTTCCTGAGCAGATCTCAACACAGCTTAAAATATTCAGGATATCCTGTTGTCAAGAGATGCAGAGTGTTCTATCCTGATGTAACACAGGCAGAGCAGATTTAGCATAATTCTTGAGGGCCTAAGGAATTTTGAAATGGTAAATGAGCATTGGCTTCACTTGCTGCATCAGCTCCCAACAAGAAAGTCAGCCCATCCTTTGAAGCTAGACACTGACTCTTCGTCTCCAGCTGTGAAAGCCCTAGATGGCATCTTCTTCCAAAAGACGGCTGTTTTGTCTACATTAAACATCTGTTTAGTGTAGCCACCTTCATGAATTATCTTAGCTAGATCTCTTGGAGCTTCTATGTTAGCACTTGTTGCTTTACCTTGCACTTTTATGCTGTGGAGACTTCTTTCCTTAAAACTTGTCAACCAACTTCTGCTAGCTTCAAACTTTCTTCAGCAGCTTCCTCATCTCACTCAGCCTTCAAAGAATTGAGAATTAAGGCCTTGCTCTGGATTAGGTTTTGGCCTAAGGAAATGTTGTGGTGGTATGATATTCTACCCAGACCACTAAAACTTTTCCTTATCAGCAGTAAGGCTGTTTTGCTTTCTTATTCACGTGTTCACTGGTGCAAGCACTTTTAATTTCCTTGAGGAACCGGCATACAGATGAGCTCTTCCTTGAAGAACTTATCTTCTGCATTTACAGCTGGGCTCTTTGGTGCAAGAGGCCTACCTTTTGGCCTATCTTGGCTTTCGACATGTCTCCCTCACTAAGCTTAATCATTTCTAGCCTTTGATTTTAAGTGAGATGTGTGACTTTTCCTTTCACATGACTACTAAAACACCACTGCAGGGTTATTGACTGGCCTAATTTCAATATTGCTGTGTCTCAGGGAGAAGAGGCTCCAGGACAGGAAAAAAGACAGAGGAATGGCTGGTCCGTGGAGGACTCAGAACACATCCATTTATCGATTAAATTTGCTGTCTTATATGGCACTGTTTATGGTGCTTCCAGGACAATCACAATAGTAACATCAAAAGTCACTGATCATAATCTAAAGTATGAAACACTGTAACAATTACCAAAATGCGAGACATGAAAGTGAGCAAATGGTGTTGGAACGAATGGCACCACCAGACTTGCTCAACCCAGGGCTGCCACAAAACTTGATTTGTAAAAAAAAAAAAAAAAAAAAAAAAAAAAAAAAAAAAAAAAAATGCTTATCTGTAAATTGCAATAAAGCAAAGCACAATAAAACGAGGTATGCCTGTAGTGATTTCAAATTGGATTGTTACCTACACCAGACTAACCAGTTCATGAAGGGCAGAAGATTACTATTACCTGCCATTTAAAAAACTGCTTTTTATTTTTCTAAAAAAGTCTCATCCATACTTGAACTGATTTTTAAAAGAGATTTTGAACATATATTTAAAAGTCACTGTTGCTCTGTAGCAAGGTAAGACTAATGCTAAGATTCTCTTTAAAGTGCCCTGCAGGTTGAACGTTCTATATTATATTCTACACCTCCTGCCTCTTGAAAAATCTTTTGGTCTTCAAAATCTGAGTCTTGTGAAAGATACAAACCACAGCAAACCCTACCAAACAAAGTCCAGCTATGATTCTAACAGCTTCCTAGGACTACAAGTTGCTTGGGTTAAGTGATCTTTTGTATGAGGAGACAAACTACTACCCTATCTAGTTTGGGGGAACAGTAGGAAAAAAAGGGTCTTTAACAGAAATAAAAACAAAATGTAAAAGCTGATTTAAAATTAATTTAAAGCACATTAAAATGATTCAAACACTTGAATCAGGAGTGAATTGAAGGGAGACAGGGAAAATAGACTTTCCCATAATGAATAGGGAATCAATTTCTATTAAGTATGAATTTTTGTGTTTTTAAGCAGAGAAAAAAAAATGGTCATTTTTATAAAGTCTTTTGAATGGAACAGGTTTCATGGGTCATGAATAAAAGCACTGGGTCCTAGTAGGGACAACAGCTGCATTAAATGCTTAAGATACATGCTTCCTTCTCTCATTTCCCCACCCCTAATTTGCATGCCTCACCTCATATAGGTGACCCTTGAACAATGTGGGGGCTAGGGGTACTGACCCCTTGCACAGTTGAAAATCCATGTGTAACTTTTGACTCCTCCAAACTTAACTATTAATAGCTTACTACTGACTGAGAAAGCCTTACAGGTGACATAGAGGCAATTACCAGATATTTTTATATGTTGTAGTCTTACAATAAAATAATCTAGAGGAAAGAAAATGTTAAGAAAATCATAAGAATCATATGGAAGAAAAATACATTTACCGCATGGTACATAAATGGAGCTGTGCAGTTCAGCCTTGGGTTGTTTAGGAGTCCACTGTAATTAGGAACACCTTCTCCAGCAGACACTGTAAACCTCCCAGGCCTTTGTACCTTGGTGCCTGTTGTACATTTCATCTAATCAATCTGAGTAGGGTATCTTTTTGTGGGAGTGAAACTAGGGTGGTAAATCATTTCTGGAGTTGAATTCCTAAGTCTAACCTGGTACCTCATGAACTAAGCTCTGGGATTCAATTATCCTGATGAAGAAGGTCAAGGAGTTTCAAAAAGAGAAAGGGGAACTCTGGGTCTGTCCAGCACGATGGGGCTGCCAGTATTACACAGTTAGGGTGAGAGTACCTGACTGTACAGTTCCAAGTCGTCTTTGCAGTGCCTCTAGCCGAGTGATATAATCTGTCAAAGCTCTGTCAGGGTCGTAATTCTGAAGCTGGGAACACGCTAAGGAACCAGGATTTAAATCAGCTGGAGGGCCCGGGTACCTAGGAGATTAAAAATAGGAACATGAATCCAAATTATCCACAAATAATGCAAGTAACTTAACAACCTGCCACCATCCTGCCCTCAAAAGCTAGATCTTCAACTTGAGTTATGAACATAATAACTGATAACTGGTGAGAACAGTCAGAATTCACATTTGAACATTTCTTTACGTGTCTGCTATTGGTCCATAGGTGGCAAAATATCTGGCTTTGAAGAGTAGTTCTTGGTTTGACTACAGACTTCAGTTTTTTCATGTGCAAGGCTAAATATGGATTAGAGATTCTGAAAGTATACAGCCCAGGATCTGGCAAAGAGACTAAGAATCAGATACTTAATATCTGTACATTATTAGGGTTAAAAATTGAAACTAGGGAGCAGAAATTGTAACTCTACAATATTTCCAATATGTGGCCATGCTAAAAACAGATATGTTCTGTTAGCTCTCATCTGCTGATCCCATCTGATGTGTTCTTCCATCTTTATAACCATGTTTCTTAAATCATTCTTCACTCAGTTGGCTGATAGGTTGTGCCAGCTCAGCATTATGCTCAGTAGTCCTTTCAGTCAATGAATCACAAGAAGTACTTGGGGACACTAAGCTAGGCCTAATCTATATCCCCTAAGGTTCTGAGTTTGTGATGTACAAGGCGAAAAAATTTCAATAAACTTAAAGCAGCTACTGAGTCATCATGAAAGTGTCCAGTAGAATGCCTGTTGCAGAAGCCCTCAATGAGCGCTGTGTATGTACAAATGTATGTTGTGGAGACTTTAGAGTTTTTTCACGATTTGCAGAGACTGTCGATTTAGTTAATACTTTTCCCAATGTCTAACCACAGCATATACTAAATAACACTTGATTAGTTCAGTTTCCAATACCCTTGGAAACCAGGCATAAATTCAAAAACTGGGGGCGCCTGGGTGGCTCAGTCGGTTAAGCGTCCGACTTCGACTCAGGTCACGATCTCACGGTTCGTGGGTTCGAGCCCCACATAGGGTTCTGTGCTGACAGCTTGGAGCCTGGACCCTGCTTCTGATTCTGTCTCTCCCTCTCTCTCTGCCCCTCCCCTGCTCATGCTGTCTCTCTCTCTCACAAATAAATAAATGTAAAAAAAAACACAAAAAAACCAAAACAAAAAAACCAAAAACTCTTTTTGTGGGTGATGGGTATTGAGGAGGGCACTTGTTGGGATGAGCACTGGATGTTGTATGTAAGCCAATCTGACAATAAGTTATATTAAAAAAATGTTTTTGATTCTGGACCTTAGCTTATGTAAATCATATACAACTGAGACACACCAGCTATTTCAAAGCAAAGGAGTCAAAGCCCTAACAGTGTCCTCCTTTCTCTGTTAAGTGTTAGTATATGTAACGAATCTCGGCAGCTTCGTCACACACTTACCTATTTTGAAAATGTAAAGGAGACCTAGGATAGTCCAGCTCTGATCTTGAGCGATATGCCATGTGTCTCGGTTCTCCGTATAGCTCCAGCCCCCCAGAAGAATGATAAAATGGGTCAGTCTTTTCAGTACCTAAAGTAATCCAAAATGTTACATACTTTAAGGGGGGGAAAAATCAAGCCCTTGGAAAATTTCTACAAAATAGGTAAGGGCTCAAAAGACTACTATACCGTACTATACAACATTACCTATTTATAGTCATTTTTAGTTATTCTTCCCAAAGAAGAGAAAAAACAGTAGAACGAACTATTGCTTTATTTTCCTTCAAGTATTTCTGATAATCTGGAACTATATGTCAAAGAAAATAAACTATTTTTAACTGGAGTATTTTCTTTTTAAAAGACTTCTGAGTGTGAGTGGTTTAGAGAAAAAGATGATGTGGATAAAAAATACTACATCACACCATTCTACTGATTTATTAGAAAAAGCGTGAAATCAAGATTTGCTAACTTACAACAGAAAGCTCATTGTAGTGCAAATTTCAGCTGTTTATGTACAAGGATGCGTATTTCAGACCACTTTGCTTAGGGTACCAAATGTTTTTCTCTGCTGCTCAGCTACTGGCAGAATGTGTAAAGGTGGTTTAATACCAATATGTACCTGTATGAATACAGTTACGCTCTGTGTCTGAAACTCTGTGTCCTCCCCAGTTTCTAAGCTCATCCTTATGCCTAAAATGTTGAAGTCCTAATGTTTGTTTCCACTTTTAGGTCGAGAGAGAAGGAATTTTAACTGTTACCATTACATACAACCTACTTGTCAACTCAAAACCTGAGTACTGTGAAAATTTCAAACTGTAACTTCTATATGGCTGACTAACAGCAATCCTTTCTTGAATCAGAGCCTTAATGCAACCGTAAGAGTTGCATTAATATTGGAGAGTGGGCTCTAGCCAGACTGCCAATGTTCAGCGCTGGCTCTGGGGCCAACAATAAATGCTTTATATGCCTCAGTTTTTCTTGTGTAAAGTGAGAATAACAGTAACTGTACTTACCTCACAGGATTGGCAAAATATATAGGATTGGGAAAAAGCAGGGCTAGTGTTCCATAAAAATGAGCTCTTGTTAACTCTTTAAAAATCAGCAAGGTCCCCAGCTCTGTTGCTTATAAGGGGTCTTTGGACAACACAAGTTCCAGAACACATTTTTTGGAAGATATTACATGTACAGTAATTTTAAACGAATCCTAAACATAAGAAAAGAAATCCTATTCTGACTTCACCTGGATTCAGTCCGAAGCCATCCCTGTTAATATTGATGGAACCAGAACTTGTGACTCGTTGCCAACGTCGAACCAAAAATTTCATTCTAAAAAAGATGCCAAGAAAAAGTTTCACAGCACCTCTATAACAGAAAGAGTATAAATATACATCTCCCACAAAATTCAAGTCATACATTTGAATGTGAACACAGAAAAATTTCAACACAATCACATGACTGCCTAATCTAAAATCATGCAAATGTCCCCTAGTCTGGGGCAAAATTAACTAGAACAGGCTTTCCAAGAGGCATCAGAGGTCTCTTCTGTTCTGACTTTATAGAGGTATAAAGGACTCAAAGAGACGAAAAGCAAAAGTAGAAAAGAGAAAAGTAGATGGACAAAGGGCAAGAAATAATGAAAGGAGAAAAGACTAGAGAGACTACAAAGCAAATGAGATGGAAAGAAAATAAAAGATCTTAACACTAGCAGGGCAACTGAGCTGGGAAAGCTGGAGAAGCAGTGAGGCCATGTGATCAGGGATGAAAAACAACGAGGCATTAAAAGGAAGGGGTGGTGGTGGTGGCACTGCTGCCAACCAGTGGTAGCAAGCTGCTGCCTGCCCCACCCCTGGCCCAAGGAACTTTCTGGAACACCAATTTTGATTTCTTAATTCCAATCAGTTTTGAAGCCCAGTTTTAGGAAGGTGAAAATACAATGAACATGTAAGAGGACAAGAAAAAGGAGTTAGGATGACGTCCTTCAATGGCAACTGGCTTTCATAGAGCCTTCCCAAACGTTCCAGTAAAATTAATACCTAAACTCTCGTGACCTGTCATTTAGTGTCTTCCAAGTTATGAGCACACTCGTCTTCCTCCCTAGGAAGTAAGCTGCCTTAAGGGATTCAGACAAGGATTATAAATTTTTTCTTTATCAGTGCATCTCCTAGCACTTAAGCCTGTACAAGGTGTACAAGATGATGAAAGGAATGAAAGATGAGGAAGGAGAAACTGGAATCACCTGACAACAATGTGGAGAAGAACAGGCAAGGAGGGCCTCAGACCATTAACAAGAGAAAACGTGAGTTCCTTTTGCAGAGCCAACATGGATAAGAACTGGGAGCCCTGGCTGATTATCCTAGCTCTATCACTACCGGCTTTGCAAACTTGCTGTGCCTCAGTTTCCTTGCCTGTGAGATGGTATTCTGGACCAGGTGATCTCAGACAGCTTTCAGTTAAAAAAATTGTCACATTTTTCAAAGAAATGTAAAGGAAAAAGGACAAAACCCTTTGAAGACATATCAGATGTGACCTGACAGGAAGAACTTTAAAAACTGAAGTGCTTTTGAGACTGCCTGGTTACTACGTATATAAAAGGTAGGGGAAGCATGGAAAAACCGAGGTGTCGGGGTATATCGCACCTGGGTGACAGGACTGCAGGAAGCCAGGTCCTCAAGGGAGTTTGAGTCCTGGCACCATTTCAACTACAAACAGAATGAGTGCCAGTGTTGCCGGCTTAGAACTCCTAGAAAAGGCATGACAAAAGCACTAGCACAGTCCAATGCCCTAAAGGCTAATCTTGGGTTTGAATGCAGAGTTAGGCCAGGGCTCTGTGTAGCTAAGACCCAAGAGGGCATTATTTTAGCAAGGAAGACAATGAATGCAGGTAGCCTAAGTAAGTTTTCAAAAACGTATTTTCCATCTTATGGTCCCTTTTATTTATACGTCTGAGCTGCTTCATGGGCTTATTCAGGGTTAAAAACCAAACATAACAGAACAAAACAATCCAGACTGGATGTGCCAGCTCTGAGTTACCAGCTGCCTGCACCTGGGAGTCCTCTTCATAGGGTCTCCACAGTACAACATAAAGTATCCCTGCTAAAAGGATGAAAGAAAGAAGTATGGCAAATGTCTCATACTGTATGAATACAGAGCACAACAGGCAGAGAGAAGAGTAGATTAAAAATCTAAATCCTTTTAGTGTCTATTAAAATGCATTTTCTGTCAAACATTTACCTTGAAATTGCCATGGACACTCTGACAGCTGACCGAAACCTGGTGAATCCCTTTGGACGGTGGGTGATCACCTCTAGGTCTGTGAAGGTTGGCTGCCCCCCCATCCGGGCGAGCAGAGCCAGTGTGGCATCTTCACACTCCTGGAACCCACCCAGTAACAGCAGCAGGTATTTCTTCTGATAAATGAGAGCTTTCCGAAAACTTTCTGCCCTCAGATATTTACCGTAAATTCTCTATGTTTAAAAAAGGGAAGAACACAAAGACATTATTAAGAAGCCATTCAAATTGTTCTCTAGAAAAAGATAACCTAGATTTTATTAAAAAAAAAAAAAAGTAGTAGAATGGCAGATACCCTACTACTGTTTTCTCCTTTATCAGCAAAGTTGAAAGTAAGGATAATCAACCTTAAATTTCACACTTCTGACTCTTTTTAGTCAGTGGAATGTGAACAAACCTTATATCTATGTTTTTGGATTTTAGCCCCCATTCATACTTACTGCAAATGTTTTGGTCATTCCCTTATCATCTCAGTTTTTTTTGTCTACTTGTGTAGCTACTTTTACTAGTATAGTTGCTAAAATATTTAACTTTCAAATGCTAATGTTCTCTGTCCTTTAAGAGGCGTAAGTTTATGTTCATTCCATAGTTAAAACAAATATTCCAAACATTTTTCTTTCAGATTTTATATTAACATTTTACAAGTAGTTTTCCTACAATACTCATCATAGCCATGACAGAGGTTGTTCAGAGGGCTTATGGTCTCACAGAGAATGACGCTCTGACACTGAAGGAAGCAGAGCTTCTGTTGGCAGTGGAAAAGAGAACTTTCTGTTGGTCTGTTAGAGATGACATGGTGGGAAGTGGACCATGAGCTCAGGGTGCTGCCATTGAGACATGCCTCATCACAAAGTTTTTGTGACCAGCAAGGGACCTGCATTCATGACACAGACTGAATAGTGAGACCTAAGGACAGCCTGAATGCCACCTAATTTCTTCATTCTGTTCGGTTAAGATTAGTGAAAGATGAAACAAGGCAAAAGCAGGGGACCAGCTCTGGTGTATGTTTAGATGCAAGACGTCTCTTACCTTTATAGTGGCATGCTCAGAATCAGAGCTCAGATTCTGAAGTAAAGCTTCATTTCTTAGTTCAGCCTTCAGTTTGTACACTTCGGCTTCTGCTCTTTTCAAGGATTTTTGCAGAGTCAACTTTTCTCTGTTCCAGACTTCTTTTTCGGAAGCAATGATTGCTTCAATGTTGGCACTACCACTCAATGAAAACCTAGAAGACTACAGAAACCAGAGTATCCTTTAATGATTTTCAGGAATAAGTCTCTGAAAAAAAACCTAAATTAAACACATTAAAGGTAACCCTAGGAGATATCAGCTTTCCAATCTCAGATATGGAGGGTTCAAAGCCAATCTCAACTGACATGAAAGAATATACACTAATATCCTTTGCTTAGTAGATTAATTTTAAAACTAAAAATCCCTGTGAAAGCCTAGCCCCAAAGAAAGTGTTGAGATTTTGCAGAGTTTTAAAATAAAAAAGTCTAGAGGGCTGCCTCAGTGGCTTAGTTGGGTAAGGATCTCACTTTTGATGTAGGCTCAGGTCATGATCTCACAGTTTGTGAGTTCGAGTCCTGTGTTGGACTCTACACTAGCATCACGGAGCCTACTTGGGATTCTTTCGCTCTTGCTCCCTCTGCCCCTCCCCTGCTTGCGCTCTTGTTCTTCCTCGCTCTCAAAATAAATAAACATTAAAAAATTGTTTTAAATAAAAAAGTCTAGAGACTTAATAAATGGGGCCATCTGGGTTCAAATGTAGAGCTTGGGCCTGAAACAGTACACTGGAGAAGTGGGGAAAAAAATAACCAGGCACGTAGAGAAGTGAGTCCCTACAGAAGCTTTGTGGATGTATGATTATGTATTTGACTACACAGCTGTCTCACAAGTCTTTCCTATCTTTATATTATATTCTTATTTTTATATTACAGATGCTAGCAATTTATTTTGTAGTTTTTAAATGGAAAAAATTTCAGTAAATGGCCAGAGTAGTTTATTAGACTGTAATATATAATTTAATGGCATCTTTCACTTGAGTTACACACATAATAACCGATAAATAATTGATGAGAACAGTCAGAATTCACATTTGAACATTTCTTTACGTGTGTCCACTGCTGGCCCATAGGTAGCAAAGTATGTGGCTTTGGAGAGAAGCAGTTCCTGGTTTGACTACAGACTTCAGTTTTCACATGTGTAAGGCTAAATGTGGATGAGAGATTCTGAACATATATAACCCAGGATCTGGCACAGAGAGGGCTCCCAATAAATAATATCTATTATCATTATTGTCAACCCTATAATATTTTTCAATGATCTTACTAAGAATCAGATACTTAATATTCGTACCCTGCTAGGGATAAAAATTGAAACTAGAAAGTAGAAACTGTAACTTTGCAACACTTCTAATGTGGCCATGCTAAAAACAGACGTACATAATCTCTGCCAGCTCCTGTCTGTCGATACCATCTGATCTGTTCTTCTAGCTTCATAACTGTGTTTCTTAAATCATTCTTTTCTTCTGTCAGTTGGCTGATATGTCCTGTTAGCTCAGCATTTTGCCTCAGTAGTCTTTCAGTCAATGAGCCACAAGAAGTACCTGGGGACACTAAGCTAGGCTAGAAAAATAAAATGACATTAAGGTTGTGTAAGCATAAATATTTATACACAGTGCACATAAAAATATGAAGAGGCACTGAGAACAACAGATGTCATGAAGAAGTGGTGTTTGAGTCTTATATAACAAGGAAGAATTTAATAGAAGAGAAGATAGGGAAGGGCATATTAAGCAGAAGGAATAGTATGTGTAAAGGCACAAAGGTTTTGTGTGAGAGTGTCTTGCTTTTCGGGAGCTACAATTTGCGTGGTAAGGCTAGAGTAAAGGCTGCCTTTACTTATGGATAATATACCTAAACGTAGTCAATGGAGAGTCATAAACGGTTTTGAGACAAGAGCGTGACACAAAATTTACGTGTTACAAAAATTCCTTTGGTAGCAGCATGCAAAGTACAGTAAATTAAGGAAGACAGATCCTGGTGTCAGGCAGACACATGACGAAGTCATCACAACAGTTCAGGTGAGAAATGCTGAAAGCCTGAAAAAGGTAATGACTAAGGACACATGGAATAGGTATTTAGGTGGTAAAAGCACAGGACTTAGTCACTGCTTAGATACACAAGTGAGAGTGAAGGAAGGTGGTCCATGGTGACCTTCAGCTTTCTAAACTGGGTGATATCAGGACCAGAAATGAGGGTTTGGGACAGGAAGAAGAAAGATGATGCTCAATTTGGAATGTGCCTATAAGGTTCCTAAGGGATCACTATGGGGTACATTTCCCCATGGAAAGAGTTCCAGTAACTAATGGAAAATATAAACCTGGACCACAGGATAAAGGTATAGACGACAATAGAAGATAAGGTTCCTAAGGGTGAGATTTTATAAGATTTGTTTGATGAAGCCCAGAACCCAGGATGGTACCTGGCATATAACAAGTGCCTGACATAAGTATTTGTTCAGTAAATAAGTCTACTGAGAACTCAGGCTGTGGGAATGAATGAGCTTTCACAATTAGAGAAAAAAAAAAAAAAAAAAAAAAAAAAAAAAAAAAAAAAAACGGATGAAGATACAGAGAAAGAATTCATGAAGGTGACTGATGAAAAGAAATGGAAAAAATGAGATAATACTGACACACACAAGAGTTTTTAAGATGGGAGAGGTCAAAAGTGTCAAATGCTACAAAGAAGTCAAAGACAGGGAATGAAAAGATTCAGATTAGTCAACTCTGAAGACACTGATACCATTCTGTGGGTGGTTATGAGTGGAGAGCTAGAAATGAGACTATTCTTTTAAGAAACTTGGTTATACTACAATAAAATGTCACCATAATTATTCAATAATGACAATGAAAGTTAATTTCCCTTCAAACTTTCAGTATCTTCTATTTGGGAAAGGCAAATATTATTATTAATATTTAAAATAAATAAATATTTTAAATAAACTATTTTAAATATTTAAAATAAACAAAAAGATAAAATTAAAACTCTTTAGAAAATATGGTGCCAGCTTTAAATGGTTCATATAGCTCCATTAAATCTTTGTTCTTGATACCTTTTATAAAGAGTTTTTTAAAGTCTTACCTCTTGCCCTGGCTGGCCAGTTAACTTCTGTAGTTGTAAAATAATTCCATCAATATTTTCCTGAACCCAAATGAAATCTTCATCATCTGCTGTTTCAAACTGTAGTCTTTAAGAGAGAAAAAGTTGAAACATACCTTTCTCAATTAGCGGTACTGAGCACAAACATTATAGATGAGGTGACGCTATGCTTCATCTACCACTTCTCCCTTACATTAAGTATTCTCTTTCCACAGTGCTAAGATATTTGTTTTCAGGTATATGAGTTTTGTTGAAGTGTATCACTTCACTTGAGTGTCTGACTCTTGATTTAGGTTCAGGTCGTGATCTCACAGTTTGTAGGTTTGAGCCCCACATTGGGTTCTATGCTGACATCGTAGAGCCTGCTTGCAACTCTCCCTCTCTCTCTGCCCCTCGCTGCTCCCTCAAAATAAATAAAAATAAACTTAAAAAAAAATTGTCTCCCTCTGTACCTCTCCCCTGCTCATTTTCTCTTAAAAAAAAAAAAAAAATACTATCGTCTCCTAATGTAAGTATTCATTAACTAAAATTTCAATTCCTGGAGCGCCTGTGTGGCTCAATCTGTTAAGCACTGACTCTTGATTTTGGCTCAGGTCATGATCTCACAGTTCATGGGTCTGAGCCCCATGTTGGGCACTACACTAACAGTGCAGAGACTGCTTGGGATCTCTCTCCCTGTCTCTCTGCCCCTCCCACACTCATGCTCTTTCTCTCTCAAAAATAACCTTAAAATTTCAATTCCCCACCCTTGGCTAGCTTTTAGTGAGGGACAGATTCTATCCAGTTTGTCTAAGAATGTCATTTCCAAAAGTCAGGAGAAAAAAAAAATCTAACCTATTGGAGGCTTTCTGGGCCAGATGATGCAGCTTTGAAGCCACACGTTGAAGCTTTTGTCTGATCATTTCTAATTCATGATTACAGCCAGCTCCTCCTTCATTCATTTCAATCAGTTTAGGATAGCCTGATTCCTTTGTCTCTCCTTCTATTTTCTGTTGAAGAACCCAATTTCTAGTTCGATCACTGGTTAAACTCCATGTGGTTGGCTAGCAATTTTTGACAGAAAAAGAAAAAGGAGTAATTATAAATGAACAACGAATCATATTCTTTCTTAAAGGAACACAATTATGGTTCATACTCCAAATAAACTTCTATGGATTTCCTTTAGATATGATTTGTTCATAACTATTTAAATAATTCAGTACAATATCGAGACACCTGAGTGGCTGAGTTGGTTGAGTGTCCAGCTTTGGCTCAGGTTATGATCTCATGGTTTGCCAGTTCGAGCCTGGCACTGGGCTCACCACTCTCGGTGCAAAGCCTGGTTCATCCTCTTTCCCCCTCTCTCCCTGGCCCTCCCCTGCTCTCCCCTGCTCTCGCTCTCTCTCTCAAAAATAAACATTTAAAAGTAAGTAAATGAATGAATGAATAAATTAGTCGAGTATCAAAATTACATGTTCAAAGGGCTGTAGTGTTCTTTTAAGAACTACTTTAAAAGAGCATCAACTTACCTCATTGAGATTCTGATAGAGAATTCTTCTACTTTCTCGTTTCTCTTCTCGTTCTAGTTCTTGCTTCTGGAATTCCTGCATAATGCCCTGCAGTCGCTTTCCTTCAAGGTCTAACTTATAAACTTGTTGCCTTTTCTCTTCCAGCTGGCGCTGAAGATCTTCCACTTTGGACTGGAGCTCATGCATCTTCTTCTGCCCCTCAGTGTTGGCCTCTTGTTCTGTCTGCAACGTCTTCCTGTGAACCTGCCTATCCTTTTCCATTTGCTGTCTTGTTTGCAGAGAATCCAGTTTATATTTCTCGGTCTCATTTAACAATTCTACAATGCGACTGTGTTTCTCCTCCAGCTGTTTCTGTAGCTCTCTAAGGAGGTCCTCAGAGGGCAGCGAGGGCCCAGGCTGCCCACCATCGCCCCCGCTCTGCAGCTGAGCATGCAATTCCCGCTCCCTGTCCAGGGTGTTGCTCATTTCCCGTATTCGAACCTTCTCGGATTCAAGAAGTACTTGCAGCTCTAAGTTTCGACCTCGTTCTTCTGATAACTGGGCATCATGTAGCACTCTTTGTGATTCTATTTTCTCCTGTGATTCGTTTAGTAGTTGTTTCTGTTGTTCCAACAGTAGATTTAGCTGAATATTCCTTTGTTTCTGACCCTCAAGCGAAAATTTCAAATCCTTGTAGAACAAAGTTGAATAAAGAATGTTAATATTTTTTAAAAAAATCCTTTATAAGTATACCATTGTGCCTTTATTAGTACTAAGTTGGTAGTATCTGGGAACAGAACTGATTATCCAGTTTATTAACTCAAATTTTCAGTGGTTAGAGCATAATTATTTGGGAGAGCCAAATGATTTTCATCAAAGAACATAAACAAAAGATAAGCTAAATAATACTTTTTCCTCCAAACATTAATCATATCTAGTTAAGGAATATGAAGTAGAGTACATTTCTTCTAGAAATAATGACCGTTAAAAATACAAGTATTTTCAATATAACATGACACGAGTTCCTGAAAAACCTCATGTTGTCCAATGTCACATACTAAAAATAATGTGGTTTGTGGGGAAAGCAGGGTTATAGACTAACTACTCAAAACTTACACAAATTTGTAAGGATAAAAACACAGTAGGGGCACCTGGGTGGCTCAGTTGGTTGGGCGTCTGAGTCTTGATTTCGACTCAGGTCATGATCTTATGTTTTGTGGGATTGAGCCCCATGTCAGGCTCTGCGATGACAGTGCAGAGCCTGCTTGGGATTCCCTCTCTCCCTCTCTCTCTGCCCCCCACCCCCTGCTTGTGCTCACTCACGCAATCCTCTCTAAACAAACAAACAAGAAAAAAAATTTTTAAATAGTAATCTGTACCCAAGGGGATATCATGTCCTTGCCAGGTGGAGACCTCACTATGCGTGGAGGCCACCAAGATGGACAATCAAAAAACCCCAACAAAAGAAAACAGAAAGTAATAGAGCAGAAATGCCAGCTACACAGTTTTTAAGCATACAGCTGGTGAGTACTACGCGTGGATGGAAGATCTCTGAGCCAGTGGGGCTACCATAAGTGGGCACTGTGTGTAGCAACATGACCTTCTCTGAGCTGCCAGCTGTGAAGGGCTGGAAGAGAGATCAGTGTGAAGGGACTCATTTTAAATTTTTAAACAATATGGCAGTGAGGGGTTCTGCTTCCAGAGAAGTGTCACTGTTCCCCTTCCCTAGACAAAACAGGAACCAAAATTATTCTGCATTAACCCAAATGGTTGCCCTATTTATCAATTGCATATGCGCTAACTCAAATTTCCAAAAACACACCCTGTAGCAGAAGTGTCTGTAATGCACCCTTGGACATAGCAAAACAAAAATGTACCACACCGTTAGCATTTCCTGATGGTACAGTTTAATACAAATAACATTGTAATAGTATTCCACATATAACAAAAAACTTATCGTGCTTCATGAAGAGTCTAAGGTTGACGGTTTTTAAAAAAAAAATTTTTTTTTCAACGTTTATTTATTTTTGGGATAGAGAGAGACAGAGCATGAATGGGGGAGGGGCAGAGAGAGAGGGAGACACAGAATCGGAAACAGGCTCCAGGCTCTGAGCCATCAGCCCAGAGCCCGACGCGGGGCTCGAACTCACGGACCAGGAGATCGTGACCTGGCTGAAGTCGGACGCTTAACCGACTGCGCCACCCAGGCGCCCCTATGGTTGACAGTTTAAAGAGACAGTCTCCAGACTCTCTCTCTCTCTCCTGTTGTTTTGGATTTTCCACAGACATTTAAAGACAAAGATAACAATACCTCAAGTTCTTCTTTATCCCGCTCTTCATTGCGTCCTAGTTTGGCTTTCTCTTTCTCCAAAGCCCACTGGAGCTCTCTGGATTTTTTCTGTTCACTTGCTAATGTGTCATTAAGCAAATGTACTTCATCTGTTTTATCTTTAACTTCCAACCTAAATCAGACAAATGAACTTTCATAAAATTACTTCAACCAAGTTTGTATTGAGAAAAAGAGAGAGCTTCCACTGATGAGCAGAGGCATATTATAAACCAACTAATAGGAAAATAAAAGCCATATAGTAAAGATTTTTGAGTGTGGTTTATTTCACATTAACTGTTTCTAGTAATGTAGCTATGAACTATTATTTACCACTGTAAACATTTTTACAAAATAACAATAAAAATTTTCCTTTGTCTTTTACTGAACACGAGAATCACCAATGTTCAAAACAAAAAATGTCCTTGTAATGTGTCCTTGGCAAGCAGAACATCTCAGTATTTACACCAACAATTTATCCTTTTCACAAGCATTATATTTTAAAACATTTTGCATATTTTGGCTAAATGAACGACAAATTCTATTGAGATAATAAACACCATTTCAAATTACTTGGTGGTAATGTATATCTCATACAACAAGTCTCAAAGAGACGGAACCCACAGCCGCGAATATGCCAAAACCTAACCATGAATTTATCATTTAGAAAAATTTGGAGATTTTCCCTTCCCACTGTAGTTTTTCCTACAAATAACAAAATTTCATGTTATTTACACATTATGTATAATGTTATGCTTTTATAAGATCTGCACAATGTCTCTGACAAAATTACTCCAATTCCTTCACCGATACAGGTTTATTAATAAGGAAGTTTGACACACCTGAAAGCCTCTAACTCCTTTAGGTGCTTATGTTGTGCCTTGAGCGTTGTTTCTAGTTCCAACTTAGTTTGTGCAAGTTCACTCTTCAGTTCGGCAACCACCATCTTCTCAGAACTCAGCTGTTCCTGCAGGTCTGTTGCTCTGTCCTTCATGCTGCTGAGCTCCACTTGCATCTCTAGCATTTGGGACTGCTTCTGCTGCATATTATACTCCAAGAGTTCTAAATGCAAAATTATTAATACGTACATTAAGACCTCCCAACTTGTATCTGGTTTATAAATACTTTGTTGAGAGAACTGATTTTTAACTTAGGAGATTGCCACAAAGCAAACATGAAAAGATTACAGTCCCAAAGTTGGCAATTTATAGAAACGCATATGAATACTGTCCTCACAGTGCTAATAATGGTTAAGGTTTCAGAACTATAAATATATAGGACTACTTTGGAAAATACTTAGGCGTTACCAAATAAATGTGAAATTATGTATTCTATCACTCAGCAATTCCACCTCTGGGGTATATATACCAAGAAAACTTATGTATGTATGCATCAGAAACATAGTATTACCAACAATGTGCAGAACAGCACTGGTTGTAATATCTAAAAAAAAACAGAAACAATCCAAATGTTCAACCACAGAATGGATATATACATTGTGAGAATTCTATACAGTAACAAAAATAAATGAATTGGAGATGAATGCAGATGTTCAGAAAAATATTAGAGAGAGGTAAAGGAAGTAAGGCACAAATATATATAGAATAATAAAGTTCAAAAGCAGGAAAACCTTAAACTTACATGGCTTAGGAATATACAAATAGGTAGTAAAACTAAGGAAAAATCAGGATAATGGTCTAGGTTACTATAGAGGTGTGTGTGTTTGGGAAAGAGCTTCAGAGGTACTTAACAAAGGTGAAGTTTCCATAATTCATCCACTTAAAGATTTGTTATATATTTTTGCATTTTGCACTTTTCAATATGTATATTAAGTTTACAACCAGAAAAGGATTTAAAAAGAAATAATTACTTTCATTGTGAATTTATTTTCCTTTCAGGTGGTTAACCTCACAAAGAGCTTCAGAACTAAAAAAAGATAATGAACTTAATGGGCTAAACAACCTGATAAAAGCAATGCCTGTTTATTTTATTTTTTAAATGTTTATTTTTGAGAGAGAGAGCATAAGAGCAAATAGGGGAGGGGTAGGGAGAGAGGGGACAGAGGATCCAAAGCAGGCACTGAGCTGACAGAGTAGATGCGGGGTTCAGGCTCAGGAACTGTGAGATCATGACCTGAGCTGAAGTCGGATGCTTAACTGACAGAACCACCCAGGCGTCCCCATTTTAAATATATCTGTTTAAAAACCAACTGGACAAACCTTTGATTCCCAGAGTAATTAATGTAAATTATTTACATTATATGAGAATGAGAAGAAAATGTGACTGAAAGGAAATGTGTTTTAAATGAATACAAAGAGGGGAAACAAAGTGAAATATTTCCACCTATTTGTTGTTACCACGTGAGACGGACAAACAGCATACCTTGGCTTGGTTGATCGCTTTCTTGTTCTCTTTTCAGAGTCATTTTCAGACCATTCAGTTGAGCATGCAGTGCTTGAATTTCAGATAACAAACTCCTTCTATCTGCTTTCTGGAGGCATTCCATAGCTGCTTGATATTCAACATTCTGTAATAATGCAAAATAAAAAAGCAAGTGAAGAGAGTTGTAAGAAGAATAAAATTAACAACCAGGAACTCTGGAAAAAAATGAAATACACATGCTAAAATTCTGGTAAGATGCTAATTTTCACTTCCTACTCATTAGGATTTACTTTTTAATTATTAATCTTTACATTTATTTTGAAATTCTTTAAACATACAACAAAACACAAATATAATAAACACCCATGTACACAGCCTAAGAAAGAGCACTTATATAGCTGAAGCCCCTCTATGTTTAACTCCCCAAACACCTCCTCTGCACCACGTGCTTGAGAAATCATCAAACTTGAAGTCTAGTCTTATTTTCATGCACTCTGCATATGTTATATACACACACCCTAAATAGTATACAGTACTGTTCTACAGTACTACTATCTAAATAACATCATATGGTGTTTTCACTTAATGAAATTAAGAGATTTTCATGTTGAACTAACCAGAATAACACATATAGCTATATTTCACAATCATTCTCAACGTTAAATAGTATTTCATGGTATGAATAATACAGTACATTTTACTTGAACTTTTCGTATACTTATTACTTTTTTGTTTGCACATATTTGTATCATTCGTTCATTTTTCCAGTGGTGGTTTATTCTCATTGGATATTTGGTCTTTAGTTTCCTTTTCTTATAATGCCTTTGCCTGGTTTAAGAATCAGAGAAATACTGGCCTCACAGAATGGGTTGGGAAGGATTGGTATTAATTCTTAAAATGCTTCGTAGAATTCACCAGTGAAGCCATCTAATCCATCACAGGCTTTTCTTTGTGAGAAATTTAAAAATTACTAATTTAACTCTTTGTAATGGGTCTATTCAGATTTTCTATTTTTTTCTGAGTAAATTTTGGTAGTTTGTATATTTTTAGAAATTTGTTTACAAGGCTATGGAAACAATTATTTTTAAAGTTACATTCTGTTGTTAAGAAATCAGATTAAAAATAAAACTTATTAAAATATTTTAAAAAAATATTTAGAGAGACCGCATGAATAGGGGAGGGGCAGAAAAAGAGGGAGAGAGAGAATCCCAAGCAGGATCAGCACTGTCAGTGCAGAGCCCAATGTGGGGCTCAATCTCACGAACAGTGAGATCATGACCTGAGCCGAAATCAAGAGTTAGACGCTTAACTAACTGAGCCACCTAGGTGCCCCAAGAAATCAGATTTTTCCATCTTGATCTTATATCCAGCAACATTACCAAACTTTCTTATCAATTCTAAAATACCATGTGTATAGGTCCTTTTTTGTTTTCTATATGAACATAGAAAACATCCATTCGTATGGATGATAGTCTTCTCATCCCTAATTCTTACTTATTTTTATTGCTTTGCTTTGTTAGCTAAATCTTTAGGACAAGGTTGAACAAGCTACTGAAGTTAACAGTATTTAAAGAAAAATTTTTTAATGTTTATTTATTTTTGAGAAACAGAGAGGGAGCACTAACAGGTGAGGAAGAGAGAGAGAGGGAGACACCGAATCCAAAGCAGGTTCCAGGCTCTGAGCTGTCAGCACAGAGCCTGATGCAGGGCTTGAACCCACAAACTGTGAGATCAAGACCTGAGCCGAAGTTGGATGCTTAACCAACTGAGCCACCCAGGCGCCCATGAAGTTAACTGTATTTTTAACATTTAACTATAATTAAATACATTTAACTGTATTTTAAACATTTAACATTTAACTATAGGTATAATGGTGGTTGTAGGTGTTTATTAAATAGACCCTATGTAGTTCAAGAAATTTCTTTTTGTTTTTAGCTTGTTATTTGTTTTAAAGTATAAAATTCTTCATTTTATTTATTTAACTTGCTGTATCTCTTGAAATGATCACTAGTTTTATTTTCTCTTTAACTGTTAATGAGTCACATGAGTTATTTTTAATGGTATGCTACCTTTGCATTCCTGGATAAGTATAAGGTGACTGTGTCTCTAAAAAATATACAATGGTGGATTTGGCTTAATATTTTGTTTAGGATTTCTGCATCTACGTTCATGGATAAACAGGCCTGTAAGTTTTCTTTCTTGTATTATTCTTTGTCTGATTTTCGCAATAGGGTTACATTTGCTTCTTAACAAAAAGACAGGGCATTGCCCCAGTCATCCAACAATGGGAAGCATATGATTAAGACTGGAATTAGCTATTACTTGAATGTATGCTAGACTTCACCTATAAAACCTGTAAAAAAAAAAAAAAATTTTTTTTTGAGCTGGGTATAATTCTTCTGGGTAGATTTTTATTTTTATTTCATATTTTGATATAATTTCACACCTACAGAAAAACTCCAAATATTGTACAGGAATCCCCATATAGCCTTCTTCCAAATTCTCTAAATGTAAACCACATTTGCTCTATCACTCTCCCTGTATATATCTAGGTGTATCCTCTCCCCAACCCTAACCCCTGATAACCACTGATCTGTTCACTATCACTATAATTTTGTTAATCCAAGTATTATGTAACATATAGGAGGTTTAGGGTATCCTTAGTTTGGTCTTTTTTAATTCTAAGTAGTATTTCATTATATGGATGTGCTGTAATTTGTTCATCCATTTACCTGTCAAAGGACATTGAGCTGTTCCCAGTTTTGGGGTATACAAATAAATCTGTTAGAAATATTCTTGTATAGATTTTTACAGAGACATTCGTTTTCATTACCATCTGATAAATACCACAAGTGTGACTTCTAGGTCATATAGTAATTGTATATCTAACTTTATAAGAAACTGCTAAATCATTTTCCACAGTTGACTCTCCCATTTTATGTTCCTATTAGCAATGTATGAGGGATGCAATTTCTCTGTGTCCTCACCAGCACTTGGTACTTTTGCTAATTTTTATTTTGGCCATTCTAATAGATGTATTGTGGCCTCAATTTGTTTTGGTCTAATATATCTCTATGAGTAGATTTTAGTTCAGCACAAAAGTGAGGTAGTGTACTTTGTATCAAGAAGCACATGATGTCTAGTTTGTTCTGTTACTGATGATATTAATTCTGATCACTTGGTTAAGGTGGTATCTGCAAGGTCTCTCCACTATACAGTTATTACTTTTCTTTTTATAATTAAAAAAGATTTCCTGGGATTTACTGAGACCATGTAGACATACTTTTCTAATCAAACACTTTCACACTAGCTTTAGGACCCATTGCCGATTATTACTTGAGTTCTTACTTTTTAATAAAAGGTAATTTATTAACTTCATCATTTCTTCTACATACTAGCTGGCATTCTACAAGAAAGAATTTTTATTCATTTATGTATACCAGTATGAATTCATGAATTCTTATTTTAATCTTTGGTTTATAATCTGTTGCTATCATTACTTAGTTTGATGTTCTAATTGTCCTGAATGTGGACATTGGGAACTCCTTCAAGCTGGCTTCTGTGATCTTTTGACATCTCTCCTTCATTCTTCGAGCAACTCCTTGTCAGTAAAACAAGATATTCTAGGTTCATCTTGTACTTTCCCTGCTCCAGCCCTGGAATCAGCCATTTCTCCAAGAAATCCTAGTTCCTTTTAATGGAGAATGTAGTTAAAAATTTAAGACCTGGGCACTAAGTATTTTAAGAGTTTTTTTAACTATCTATCTATCTATCTATCTATTTATTTATTTATTTATTTATTTATTTATTACTAGCTATAGGTATTTTCAGGTTTTCTATTTCATCCTGAATGAATTCTGGGAAGTGATTATTTTTCTAGAAAATCTATTTGTCCCACAGTTTTGAATTGATGTAAAATTATCTATAATATTCTATTATTTTATATCTGTTATTTTTAGTTATGATCACATTTTATAAAAGCGTGCTTTTACCTTTTATAAAAGTATGCTTTTTATTAAAGTGTGCTTTTACCTTTTTCCTTAACCAATTCTCCAAAAAAAGTTTCTATCTTATTAGCCTTTCAAAGAACAAACTTTTAAAGTTTCTATCCTCTCTATTATACTGGTGTATGTATTTCACTAACTTCATTTTTCTTTATTACAGTTGAGCCTCATTTGTGGATTATGTATCCACAAATCTGCCTATTCACTAAAACTTATCTGTAACCCAGAATTAATACTAGCATTGCTTGAACAATCATTTTTAAACATGCAAAGGGTGGCAAAACATTTAATCTGCCAGCTGTGCATGTTCTGAGCTGAAGGTGCACTAGGTGACATTCTGATGTTTTATCTCTTAAACTGCAAACAAGTGTCCTTCCTGCCATCTATTCAGTGCTGTGTTCTTTTGCATTTCTGTGTTTTTTAATGGTGATTTTGCTGTTTAGAATGGTCCCCAAGCACAATGATGAAGGACTATCTAGTGTTCCTAAGCACAAGAAGGCGGTATTTTATGCAGAGAATACATGTGATAAGCTGCTTTTAGGCAGGAGTTAAATAGTGCTACGGGCCATGGATTCAAGGTTAATGAATCAGCAATACATATAAATAAGGTGTCTTGGCAAATGTCACAACCAGGGGCTCACAGGAACCTGCCTGCAGTATTCCCCTAGTAGCAATGGCTCAGTACGCTCAACTACTTTACAGAATCTAACTACTGCAGACAGTTGAGAACTGACCATATCTTACTTCTACTTTCTTTGGGCTTATTCTGTTGCTGTTTTCTAACTCCCTAAGTTGGATGAGCAGCTCATTAATTTTCAGTCTTATTTCTAAAATGAGATAAAACATTTAAGGTAATAATTTTTCTCCGAATAGTCTTAGTGGCTTCTATTAAAATTTTAACTTTGAGACCTTCTCCAAAAGTAATCAATAACTCATTTTCTTACTACTATTAAAAAGCACTCTTTGTTTCAACATTTTATTTTGATACCTGTTCTTGTATTCTCTGTTCCAAACAGTTCAATAATCCAACTGCATCTCTAGTACCTAGAGCTGTCAGCTCAGTCTGAAATGCAGCTAGTAAAACACTGCGCTCCTTTAAGAAAACTTGCTGAAGAGCAAGCAGAAGTTCACCTCGCCAGTCTGAGAAACTCTCATGAGATTGGGAACCATTGTAAACCTAACAAAGAATAAAAAACAAAAGTTAATTTTCAAATAAGTAGGCTTATAAAAAGTCTAAAAATGATATTTATCTACTAACCAAATTAAATGTTAGAGGCCAAAAAGTATATAGATTTACTTTCAAGAGTATAATACATAGTAATTCATGTGAAAATACATCATAAAAGACAATAATTTAAATTATAAAGTGCCTTACTATTAATAAAGGGCATATAAAACTGTTAAGATGCATAGTATTGAGTACCTCGGCATCTCTTTGCACTTGTATTTTGGTAATTAAGTCCTTAAGAGCTGAGACTGTACTGAGGTAAGCTCTTCTTTCTTCTAGCCAAGATTCTGAAACTTGCTGAACAGAATGGTCCTCTCCATCACTGTAGGGAGACTCGGTGAGGGAGAGCACCTGCATGCCTTCGTTATGGACAGCTCTTAGTAATCCCTACAAATCAAAGCCCAAAGGCTAGAATTATGACGACTTGTTCAAAAACAGACATACAAACAGAACTAAATTTTAAGCAAGATACCTTTATCAAGTTAGCCTGACTTAGAAGAGTCACTGCAGAAAGGACATACCAGGCTACCATTACTGACTGCCTTCTTCTAATGGAGGAGTAAGCCAATCCCAGAAGACACTGTCTTTTGGGTTGCTCTTATCTGTAAGTTCCTTCTATTTATCTAATGCACTCTTCTTGGATTTAATGATCAGCCACTAATTTGGCCAAAAGAATTATGTAGGAGATAAATTCTAGTCCTTGAGATTGCTTTAATAATTTTGGCACTCAAAAGTAACAGGAATTAAAAAAAAATTTTAACTCTTTATCTCTTTATGCAAATAATTATTACATATATTATACTTTATTATCTGTAAAATATAGGAATAAACCTATATAGATCCCCAAGATTCCTTCTAGCTATGCAATTCTCTCTTCAGAGAGAAACTTACTATGTTCTAATAAACTGCTATGTTCAATACAGAAATCAGACTGGCTAAGTTTCACTAAAAGACAGCTGTCTTTCAGTACCTTTAATTTTTTTGGAAATGAATCTGTTGAACTTTCGCCTTCATCTCCTCTGTCTTCTGATGCTGTGTCAAATCCCTGACTTTGTGTAAGATAAATTCCTTGACCCCAGTCTGATCCAGAATCTAAAATAAAGAAAACAATTGACTATTGAAAAGAAACAATTATTATTTATTAAAAAAAAAATTTTTTTTTAATGTTTGTTTTTGAGAGAGACAGAGTGTGAATGGGAGGGCAGAGTGAGAGGGAGATACAGAATCCAAAGCAGGCTCCAGGCTCTGAGCTGTCAGCATAGAGCCTGACGCAGGGCTTGAACTCATGAACTGTGAGATCATGACCTGAGCTGAAGTTGTACGCTAAACTGACTGAGCCACCCAGGCGCCTCAAAACAAACACTTTTTAAATAAGTACTACAAAAATGTCAGAAATTTATGTAACTTACCACTGGAACATATTTCTCTAGTTTGGTAAGCATCAGAATGTGTTAATTCGGGAAGTGAGGATCCCTAATTAGAGAAAACAAAAGAATACATAACATTTTTGGCCTTAATAAAAATAGAAATAGGAACCCAATACATAGTTTTGTTCTTTTGTAATGCTGTCAAAGAACAAAAAACAAATGAAAAACTCAATTAAATCTGTCACATCTTTCACAGTTAAGTGGAACTATCCATGGTTTATAAAAGTCTTCAATTTTTTTAATGGATATTACCATTGCAAACATTCATGAATTAAGGAATGATATTATCACATTCCAAATTTGCAGAGGAACTTGGTAGCAAATTATTATTGGAATACACGAGGTAAAGAAGATTTAGATCTATAATCTTATCACAAGGAAGAGGCTACCCCAAATTTCTTTCTCTCTTAAAAACAAAGAATTTTGGGGGGGGGAACCACACACAGAATGTTGAAAAAACATGTATTATGAAAACCAAATACCTCCTTCGATTTCAGACACTGTATCACTGCCTTCAAGGTACCACATTCTTCTGTCAGTAACTGAACTGCAACATAGTGCTCCCTCTTTAAGGTTTCAGTTTCTGAAATATGTCTGGATTCCATATCCAAAATTTCAGCAGCATGTAATTCTTGCATCTGCTCAATTTTTTCAGTAAACTGATTGATTATTTCAGTGACTTCTTCTGATGAACATTCACTCTGTAAATCAACTTGGATTCCTGCATTTCTGACAAGAATTTGTGGAGTCTGACTGCTGCTATTGACCTTGAGAGTCCCCTCTGTCTGGGATGCCAAACTTTTACCCACTTTATTAGGAAGTGCCTCTAATATGCAGACTTTTCTGTTTTCCTGTAACTCAGTTTTATCTTCTTTTTCTAACAAGTAGGATAATTTCTCTTCTGCTTCTATGAGCTGATTCCTGACTTGGCTTAAATCTTTCTGGAGAGATGCCATACTTGTTTCTTTTATCTAAAACATAATGAACAGAACAGAACGTTCAATTAAAAATATTAAATGTAGAATTTAAGGTAGAGAGGATATTCATTTTCCTTAGAATAATAGGAAAAGTTTTTCAGAAACACTCCTAGATTCCATATATATATTTGCATTGTATGTAAAATCATAGATGACCTTAGAAATGAAATTATTTTATCAGCCTCATCTTTTTGGTTTTCATGGGATAAGAATTCTCTTTAACATCTGTCTATCTACTTGTTCATTAAGAGACTAGAGACTAAAAGCATCTTGCTAAAAAATATTCCAGGAAAATTAAGCAAGAAGATAGTAGTAAAGAAATTTGTAATAACTTTTAACCAAAGCCATAAAAGATTTGTTTCCAGCTTTTAAGTTATAAATTTGGTTTGGGTTTATAGAAGAGAATATACTTTGAAATGAAATTAAGATTATGTAAAAGTGAATTAGAAAATATGTTACTTATTTTACCAAAAGCTCTTCTTGAAGCTTTTCTGCTTTCTCTTTATAATTGGCAAGTTCTTCTTTAGTTGCTGATGATTCAGCTCTAAGAGCCTCAAGTTGACCAAAAAATCCACTTTCTTCACTGGTATGAATTAGCTCAGTAGTTGTCTGAATGATAGTGGAAAACATTTAGAAACATGTTATTTACAAAAAAAATACAGCCAATTTCAAGGTACCTATACATTCTAACGAAGCTTTTTCAGGAATGACTGCCTATCCAATAAAACGGTGTAGAAATAAATGATTCATGTTCTTTCAACAAATAGGAAAACTTTTTTAGAACGATCATTTTATGTTCTTGAGACAGTAAGAAAAAAGTTATTTTCTAGGAATGAAAGGTACTTCATGTTAGTATGTACCCTATTTATAAATTATTAATGAAATACTGTTACCATTCAAAAACTTTCGTACTTATATCACTTTCCTCAAAAAATGCCAAGTCTTACTAAGATACTTCTTACATGTTTTATATACATGGAAAGTCACATTAATATTTTAAAATGACTACAATCAGTTATAGTTCTGGGGAAGAGAAAAAAGCCTAGTAAATGGAAAGAGTTATCATCCTTTGCTTTTGTTTTTTAATGTGTATTTGTTTATTTTGAGAGAGTGTGCACATGTAAGCAAGGAACAGGGTGAGATAGAGAATCCCAAGCAGGTTCTGCACTGTCAGCACAGAGCCTGACACGGGGCTTGATCTCATGAACTGTGAGATCATGACCTGAGCCAAAATCAAGAGTCAGATGCTTAACTGACTGAACCACCTAGGCACCCCAGAATTATCATCCTTTGTAAAACAAATTATATATTAATAGAATCTAGATACATCAGTTAACCTCCTGGTATTCATATAAGACTGCATATTTAGTACTCAATATTATAAATATATAAAGTGAGGTTGTGAAAATTAAAGTCCTTCTATATCTGTCCTATGCTAAGAAATAAATGCAATTTCAGATTGTTACATAAGCAGACTTACAAGGGTGAAATACAAATTATTCCTAAGAAAGGAAAGAATCTATTACCAGCTATAAAAGTCTGCAAAAGCTAATGACTTCTTACTGATATGTTAATTCAGTGGAATATTAATATATTTTATTATTTTCCATTACTTAAAATGATCACAAAACACGCATATTAGATGGAACAGGAAAAAAACCCAAATTCCAAAGGACATTTGCTAAACTTATCATCTCTAAAACATCTCTCACCTTCTTCTGACTGCTCTACTTAATGAGTATGCTAGTGAAATAAATAACATGATTTGAAGACCACAAAATATCGATTTTTCCATTATTTTAGTGATAATAATGGGAGTATACAGAAAAGTAGTACTTTTATAAAAGCCCTTTATTTATGAATTGCTAGATATAAAGAACACCATATTTAATTTAGTAAATTAGCAATCAAGCTTATGGAACAAAAAAAAGAGAACTTCTTAGGGTATTTAAGTGAAAAAAATTAAGTACAAACTAACCTTGAGAACTTCAAAGTTTCCTTCAGGGCTTCTTTTCCTTTCTTTACCTCCCTGTTTTTTCTCCTCCTCCAATAACTTCTGTAGTTCTAGTAGCCTCTTTTCTTTTTCCAAAGCATTTTTCTCTACAATTTCTACCTGTTTTTTTTCTAAAATCAAACTAGTCTGCATTTCAACCACCTGGCTTTCTAATTCTGATATTCTCAAGGTTAATGCTAATACATTTGACTCCATCTCATTATCTGTAACTTGATTTAAATTCTGTGCATGTGTTCTTTCAAGTTCTGATGAAACTGGTTGTTTATCTTGACAGAATTTTGCATATTCCTTAACTGCTTCAAGTTGGACTTGACTCACAAGAGCAGCAGCAACTTTTTCTTCAAGCACATTCTGTAGGTTTACAATCTTCCTTTTCAGCATCTCTGTTTCAGACTGGCCTTGCTCTTGCATGTCCTTTATTTGTTTATAACACTGGGTGAGTTCTAAGTCCTTTGCACTCACAGTGCCCTCAAGTTGTAGCACCTTTGATTCCAAACTGCTAATGGAACCTTTGCTGTTTTCTTCAAAAGATGTGAAGTCAGTCTGATTTTCTAGGGGTTTAAGAGCATTCTCAGGAAGGACTACTTCCAGTTCAGGTTTGGTTTTGCTCAGATCATCTATGGCCATGTTAATGCTTTTCTCTGGTACACTTTGGATTTCTTCCATATTTTCACGTTCTCTCTTTAAGCTGCATAATTCTTGAGTTAGCTGATTCATTTTTAAATTAGTTTCTTCAAGTACATTTTTCGTAAAGGCCATTTCTTCATTAGTGGTTTCTACTTGCTGTTCCAAAGCCAGTTTTTCAGCTATTACCATATCCAATTGATGTTTTAAACTGTCTGCTTCTTCTGGAAAAGAAGTAGCATCCACTGATGTCTTCTGTTCAATTAATGCCAATTCCTGTTGAAGTTTTTCAATCACTTCATTGAGCTGCTCAATTTCTTCTTCTCTATTTTTCTTCACACGTTCTTGGTCACTCATCAAACATTCTATTTGGGTTTCAAGATCCCTTATCAGTTCATTTTTTTCTTCAATAACCTGTTAATGAAAAACAGGTAACAGACATAATAAATAAATTATTTATATTTTGGGAATTTCATTTTTTATTTTAAGGGCAGGAACTGAAAGTGTTGATCTCACACAATTTACTTCTCAGACATAATAGATTAACTTTAATATAGACCAAGAGTCCTAATCAGATCAAACAACGACCTTATTTTGAACTTTGCTCAGAAAGTTCTATTAAATATAAAGTGACTTACACTTTAGTAGCTGATTTCCTGTGAGTAAAATAGTTAACATCAATGCATTCTACTTGAAAAGAATGAAGTATTAATATAAAAATGGTCTCCAGAAGATTTAATTCCTATCAAATAGAATAATTTTTATTAGATTTGGTTAGAATGATATGATGAAATCTGAGTCACCAGAGACTCTCTGGAAAACACCAAAAATCTTTGACAATATTAGAAGAGGATAAAAAAATACACATAGCTTATGAAGCCAAGGAGTCACTTTCTTTTTCTTTTTTTAATTTTTATGTATTTTTATTTTTGACAAAGAGAGCGAATGTGCAAGCAACAGAGGGGCAGAGAGATCCAGAGACACAGAATCTGAAGCAGACTCCAGGCTCTGAGCTGTCAGCCCAGAGCCTGACGTGGGGCTCAAACTCACAAGCCGTGAGACCAAGACAAGAGCTGAAGTCGGACGCTTAACTGACTGAGCTCCTCAGACACCCGAAACCAATGTGTCTTAATAAAGTAAATGGGTAAAAGAGAATTAAGGTTTATTCAGTGTTTATATTCAAAGAGAAGCTGAAAAATAACCACTTGCCCCTACAATTGTAGCTTAACTTCATGTAGTAATTAAAAAAAAAAATTTTTTTTTTTCAACGTTTATTTATTTTTGGGACAGAGAGAGACAGAGCATGAACGGGGGAGGGTCAGAGAGAGAGGGAGACACAGAATCGGAAACAGGCTCCAGGCTCTGAGCCATCAGCCCAGAGCCTGACGCGGGGCTCGAACTCACGGACCGCGAGATCGTGACCTGGCTGAAGTCGGACGCTTAACCGACTGCGCCACCCAGGCGCCCCTCATGTAGTAATTTTAAATTTGTTTACCTTATTATCAGTTGTAATTTTAAGTTGATGCTGAAGTTTTGTAATTTGCTCATTTAATTGCTCAATTTCTATTTCTTTTTCCTGCATTATTTGAGCCAATTTTCCAAGCAACACATGTTGGTCCTGAGTAGAGATAGCATCAGATTCCTTCATGGCAAATCCCAGTTTCTCCATTTCATCCTAGGAACAAAAATAACCATCCCAGTTAGATAGATCACTATATGCCATTTTCTGAATATTGTTTCAATTGAATCTTACAAAAGATAAAGCACCCAAAATGTACAAATAAACAAAATCAGATAACATACAGTAATTGTAAGTGAATAATTCTTAAAATATTGTGATAACAGTTCTAAAAATTTTTTCTCTCATGATGCAGTCAAATGTTTATGTTGGGTGGAAAATAAGTTGCATGCAAATCCATTTGCAGGTAATATTCCTTTGTTAAGTATTATTTATTAGCAGCTGGATCCAGCAAATGTTTGATACTAAGACAAAAATTATGAATTATTTGTAAGCAAAGTTTTTCTTAATTACCTTAAATAGTTTGTTTTCTTGTTCAAGTTCTTGGAGGCGGGTAGTAGATTCCTTTTTCTGTATTTCTAATTGCATATGTAGTTGCTGAACTTCTTCATTCTTATTTTCCAGTTCTTCTCTAAACTGCTCTAATTGTTCTTCTAAGTTTGTAATCTTTGATACCAAAATTATCGAAAGGGAAGATAAAATGAAAACCTGTTTATTTTTAATTTTTTTAATGTTTTATTTACTTTTGAGACAGAGAGAGAGAGCATGAGCAGGAGAGGGGCAGAGAGAGAGAGACACAGAATCCGAAGCAGGCTCCAGGCTCCAAGCTGCCAGCACAGAGCCCAACGCAGGGCTCGAATTCACAAACCACGAGATCATGACCTGAGCTGAAGTAGGACACTTAACCAACTGAGCCATCCAGGTGCCCCTGAAAACCTGTTTACAAATGTTTATTTGTCAAGAGAGAAAGAGTGCTGCAGTAGCTGTATAAAACATAATTAAGTGTTTAAGAGATACGAGCGATGAGAATAAAGGGGTTTCGCTAAGCCAGGTGTAACTGTGTGGTTTCTATGTATTTCAAACTGATCATCACCCTTAAATCATCCTACCCAAAGCAAAGAGGAGCCCTTCAGAGCAAAGATACAAGGAGCCATTTCTTACCTAAAATACCCTCTGATATAGCAGAAAAGAGTCATGGGAGGAAGGGAAAGGGCCTGCATTTTAAATCTTATTTCATGTTAAATTTAATTGCTATCAAAAAGTTCAAAAAGCTGCAGGATTTGGTCAGTTGTTTTAGCTACCAAGTGAGACTAACTCAAATTAGTCCATATTAATACTTAACTGAATGAAAGGTCTGGCTGCCATGTGCCTTGTTTAAGTAGAAGAAAGTAAAGGTAGACACTAAGGCTGTGAGATCCTTACGTCTGAAATACAGAAACTTAAACAGTGAGTTATTAATACCATTTTAGGAGAAAATTAGAGAGTTCCTATGTGTAGGACAAGAAAAATTTAGCTCTTTTCTGAGCATAAATTACTATTAACAGTAAAGCAATTGCTCTTTAATGGTTATAAAGAGACTGAAACTAATGACAAGTTTTAAGTGCTAGCTATCATTTTAAAAGTTGGGTTTGATTAAGGAATCATCATTTGGCACAGTACTTTGTAGGTACTTAATAAATAATGAATGGATTTCCAAGAATGTATTTACCTGATGATCAAACTGCTGCATTACAAGCAACGTAAAATGCAGGAGCAACATTATTCAGTGGAGCTGGCTCAGAGAGCAGCCTATAAATCATTTATTGCCTTAGAACTTGAAAGGAACCATAAGCTGCTTACACCCAGGTATGTAATCAGAATCATGTCTTAGCACTAAGCAAGGCAAAGCCCTTCAAAAGCATTTAGCCTAATAGTTCATTAACAGAAATAGTACTGACACTAATAATAGCCATCATTTATAGACACTTTATTGCCAGGTGCTGCATAAGGTGCTTTATATATATTATTTTTTTAAAGTCTGTAATAATCTTATGAAATCTTTAATTAATAATCCAAATTATTCCCATTTCAGAGATGAGGAAGGGAGTCACTGAAAGCAAGGTACCTTGCCCTTAGGTCACAGGCTCTAGCTTTTGAACCTGAGAAGTTTACCTGTGGAGCCTTACGTTCTTAACTATCACTTATCCTGCTTCTAATAACGAATGCCCAAAACTTATACTTAAATTATTTTCTGTACACTGGCATTAGACTCAGAAGACACACCTTAAATACATTTAGTAGTTGTGCATATATAATTATCAGGTTAGACTGGTGACAACTATGGTGATTATATCTTCTTCAAAGTTATCTAATGTAATAGTACTTATACCAATCCCTATCTTCCACAACTGCTTTTGATGAAAAAGTACTACTTTAATATACACATAGACATTGAAGTTCAAAACCGATGCTCCACCTCAAATGCCATTTGTTTTAGGGGGGTACCTCTTAATCCTTGTCACCCATCTTCCCCAACCCACCCTCTGTCAACCACCAGTTTGTACTCTGTATTTAGAGCATGTTTGGTTTTTTGTTTGTTCATTTGTTTTGTTTTACTTTCTTTTTTGATCTATCAGTTTACGGTCAAATTCTAAATTTGATCTAAAGTCTTGCCATTCAAAGTGTGGTCCCTAGAGCAGAATTGGCATCACCTGGGAACATGTTAGATGAACAGATTCTGAAACCCCATCCCAGACCTACTGATTCAGAATCTTCATTTTAACAAGATTCCCAGGGGATTCATATGCACATTAAAGTTTGAAAAGCACTGGTTCAAAGCACTAACATTTCTGTTAGAAGTAGCTGAACTTGAGTCACCACAATAGAGACTTCAATTCCCAAAGAGGACACTGTATGATTCTTTTCTCCTATTCCTCCTATTCAGCCAGTGTCATTTCCAGGCTGTCCTGTTACTGAGTCTATTACAACCAAAAACCACAAGAATATTATTAAGCTTTAAAAATAGAATGGTGGTTATTTGTTTTAATCTTGTTTAATTTAGCTACCAAATGTTATATAGGTAGTTTGGATCAAATAAATTTGCAACTATTTGTGTTTTTTTTTCGAGTCTTCTCGATCTCTTTCAAATGTGTATACGACTTCTTAGACAGTAGATTCTTTGAAATCTGGTGCTGGTTTTACAATTGGGAGAGTGGTAGTCAACACATGTTAAGAACCCAATAGATGTTCAGTGACAATCTTTAATACTTCTCACTAACAAGGAATGTTTATTCCCCAATTCTTTGGCAGTACAATACCACAGGACTCCAGAATCAGAGAAATTCCTCAACTGCTTACTGTGTGACCATGAGCAAGTTACTTAACCTCTCGTAAAGACTCAGTTTACTCATCTGTAAAATGGAGATAACACTAGAGCCTGTCTAGTGCTAGGCTACACTCTCCCTGAGGGGGAGAGTGTAAGGATTAATGGCATAGGCATTTAAAATACCACTTTCTAGCACAGACCTCAACAAAGTTAACCATTACTTTTTATTACCGCCATCTGTAAGCTATATCTTATTAGCTTTATAGAGAGTTAAAACCTACTGAAGGCATCTTTTTTTTAAAGAAACTCTTCCTTCTATTTCTCCCCACATTATTCGCCTTCTCTCATCATCCTTAAACTATCTTTACAGTTTCTGCTCTATTCATTCTGCATTTCTAAACATACAATAAACCGAAAAAAAAAAAGTTTTATACAAATTAAGCCTGTAAGAATAATGGAAAATATCTAAAAATATAATGACGCATATAGACATCTTATGTTTATACTCCATCAGATATTTGCCTAGTATAGGAGAGAGTGTTTAAGAAGTGATTTTCATTAAAAGATTTAGGTTTTAATTCTATGTTCCTCTCTTTCAGTCTTCAGTTACAGACAAGTGGGTTCTGACAGAGTACTTGTTGCTGTGATTAAAAACTAGTCCACCAGGATGAGCTATCATTTTAACCCTTCACTAACTCAACTTGTCTGGCTCTAGCTCATCTATAAAAACTGGGAGTTGGCTGACAGAAGCTGGTTGACAGGTCTCTTTGTAGTTTTGATAAACTATGAGTCTGAGTAAAAGGTAGATTGCTATTGGATACTCACTTCAAAAAATTAAGGTGTCAGTAATGTTACGCGAAAAATTAAGGTGTTAGTAACGTCATTCAAAAGATAATAGTAAACTTAATTATCTACCCATAATCAACTATCACTGCTTTTGGGTCCAGTTTTGAAGGTCTATCTTTTTAGAAAGCAATTTTTTTTTTGATTAATTAGTATAAGGTCAATCTTTATATTTAAATGTTAATTATTTTCTTTCTTTTCTTCCTTCCTTCCTTCCTTCCTTCCTTCCTTCCTTCCTTCCTTCCTTCCTTCCTATTTTAAGTAGGCTCCATGCCCAACATAGGGCTTGAACTCATAACCCTGAGATCAAGAACTGCATACTCCACTAAGTGAACCAGCCAAGCTCCCCAATTCTTTTCAAAACACACAGAAGTGGTTACAGATAAACAAGTGTTCCCTGCTTTTTGTGGAAAAACCAAAAAAGCAAAATAAACAAGAACCTTTTAGATAAACATCAGTCAGTATTATATGATAGCAAGAAAATAATCCTTCTCATGGAGATGATCATTTCTTTTCATCATTTATATGGATTTTTTTTCTCCTCTAAAATACGAGTTTTCTTTTTTAAAAAAATTCCTATTGTTTAAAAAAATTTTTTTAATGTTTACTTATTTATTTTGAGAAAGATAGAGAGTGTGTGTGCAAGCAGGGGAGAGGCAGAAGAGAGGGGGAGAGAGAAAGAATCCCAAGTAAGCTCTGTGCTGTCAGAGCAGAGCTTGACATAGGGCTCAAACTCACAAACCATGAGATCATGACCTGAGTTTAAACCAAGAGTCAGATGCTCAACCAACTGAGCCACCCAGGTGCCCCTAAAACTACAAGTTGCCTGATCTAGAGTTTGAGTTGATGTCTAATTCATTCTTGTATTTTCCAAAGCACTTATTAACGTTTATACTGTTTAAATTCAATAAGTATTTGTTAAAATCTATTAAATATCCTGAAAAAATTATATAGAAATGAAAATGTAACTTAAAAAATCTTAAATATTTATAATGCTATGATACAGCTAAATAATGTAGAATACAGTATATTTTAGAAAAATAGACAAAAATTTAAATACATTTAAATTAGCTTGAAATTGGAAATTAGTATTAAAAGTAGATTTTTCTTTCTTTTTTTTTTTTTTTTTTTTTTTTTTTTGAAAAGGGAGGGAGTAGGAAAACATAGGAGAACTTTCCTAAAACTACCTTATTGTTAATTTTTTAAGAACATGTTTATACGTTGTAAAACAGCGCTATAACCTCCCAGGGTAATACAACTTAAAAAAAACAAACCCACCCCCAAACCCTACAGCAAAGTAGCATAACTTCAAAGCTCACAGTAAAGAAGGGAAAAAGAGAGATCCTGCCTTTTGTGCTAATACAATTCTCTCTCCAGTCTCCTCTTCACTCCATTCATACCTTCTTTTGTCTTCAAACTTCTTCTGTGTCAAGGCCTTTACATTTGTCCCCTCTACATGGAACACTTCTCATACCAGCTTATTTGTTCAACTCTTTTTGTCTTCAAGATCAATTTAGGTAACGAGCTAAGAAAACTGTCTAAACAGTATAAACCCCATTCTGTACAAATGACATTCTCAAGGTGACTTATTTAAAATAATTCAAGCCACATTTTGTCATTAAAAGTATACCTCTTACCTCTTTTTCCTTTCGGTCTATAGCATCTCGCTCAGCCTGCAACTGTACTTCTAGCGACAATTCTGTTTTAGCTTCTAGAGCTCCAGACTGCTTTTGGTCCTCTACCTTTAAATATACAAAAATTTTCTCAAAACTTCAGACATTAAATCTAATTATCCATTTTAACTGGAGAAATAGCAATGCCATTAGCAGCTCATAATCTACATTACTGAATAATCAAAGTTACAGATCCTCAGTTTTGAATGCAGGAACACAGGAATGTTTGACACTCTTAAAATTCATTCCTCAGATAAAATGGAGACTATCCCCTAATATGCCCCTTTCCCAAGCTTCCTTATCCTGCTCTTCTTTGATTCATTCTTGTTTTCTGCAGTATAGTGGGGATAGATTTCACTCTTATTCTGGGATAAAGCAATAGACTCAACTGGTGTCCACAGCTTTTTCATTTGGCTATTATTTTAGAATCACAACCTATTGACTGTGAAAAGGATCATTAATTCCTCTGGTTTACTTACTTTTCCTTTTTCAGGACTAAGGTATGCAAGTAACATTTGAAGGTAAGAAGAAACAGATATAGTTATGTCACTGGAGACATAAAGGTATATTTATATTTTGTAATAATATCAACAAAAAATCACTACTAATTTTTTATTTAAAGGAACTGATGTTCAGGTAACTAAGAGCAATCCACATTAAAACACTTCATAAAATTAGCCTGAAGAAAATGCCATACCTTTTGGAAAGTGTCTGTACTAACGAGTAAGGCTTGCTCCAGTTCCCTTACTCGGAACTCCAGTTTCTCAATTTCTTCATTCCGTTCTTGTACATCCCTCTGAAGCTGCTCTTTAGAGAGCAAAAGCTCACTGCACTTGTCTGTTTTTTCTTTCAGATGATTTGTTAACTGTTCAACCTAGACATAAAATAAGCAAAAACTGTAATTTAAAAAAAATTTCAACAAGCTAGTAACATACCTGTCCTCATTTCAAAAAGTATTTTCAGAAGCCATGCTAAGTATTTTTGATAAGGATAGCAACTATTGTCTCCAACTATGGTGACATTCTCGGAGTTGATAAAGTAGTACTAACAAAAAAGAAATACTGCTCCACCAACCCTTTACAAAAAATTCTTTCTCTTAAGACTAAGACCTGCAGCTAGGAGGAGAGAAAAGATTACATTTTTGAATAATGTTAAAGTATAAGCTCTAATGGTACAATAACACTAAAACTTAATAAAGATGACAAGTTTGCAGAGTGCTGACTTACACTATTCATCGATTTGAGAGAAGAGAGTGAGCATATGCACAAGTGGGGAAGGGGCAGAGAGAGAGGAAGAGACAGACACTCCCAACCAGGCTCCACTCTGTCAGCGCAGAGCCCAAAGCGGGGCCTGAACTCACAAACCCCATGAGTTCATGATGTGAGCTGAAATCAAAAGTCGGGTGCTTCACCGACTCAGCCACCCAGGTGCCCCCTGACTTACACTCTTATGTCAGATAAGATAATCTTAAGAAATCTTTAATGGATTCTATTTTTCTTTCCACAAATGGTTATAATTGAGACGTATAATAATATGGTTCTAAACAACGCAGAGATGGGAGGGAAAGGGGGAGCTTTAATATAGTCACTTAGAAGCTTTTTCAGCCTACACATTCCAGCAGCCCATAGCAGACATGAGAATACTGGGTGGTGAGAAGAATCTGTGCACACTGAAAGTTTCCCCAAGTAATTCTGATAATGCGGGTCCATTTAAGAGAATGGCTCTGAGACCGAAGGATTCAGGAAGCATTAATAAGACAGCTTATGAAATTAGTTCTCATCAAGTAAAGAGAGAAAGCTTGCTAAAAAAATTAGTGTGATGGTAAGAAAAAAAAGCAATTCTACCTTACTTCAGTGAGATACTTTAAGGAAATTATCTAAATATGATACTTATTCCCCAAAACATTAAAAGAAATGCAAACTTACCTATAACTACATGTTCAAGGATGACTATAATAAAGCCACTGAGGAGAAAATTTAACAATAATGGGTGGGCTAAGATTTGGAGTACAGTCAAGGAAAAAGACCACAAAGCAGCAAAATAGTACAATATACTGTAAGAGTTAGATTATTTAGATCTTGAGAAAATCAGCATCTGGGGAATCAGATTTGGCAAGGTAAGGACAGAACCAATGGATCACAATGTTCCAGGAGAAAAATCAAATACACACATCCATGTTAGTTTCTTAAAGTTTCATGAATGAGGCAGGTCACACTTTTCAAATATAACAAATAATATACTTACATACTGTACTATTAAAAAAAATTTTTTTTTAATTTATTTATTTTGAGAGAGACAGAGACAACACATGTTGGGGAGAAGCAGAGAGACAGGGAGAGGGAATCCTAAGCAGGCTCCCCACCACCAGCCCTATGTGGGGCTCAAACCCACAAAGTCATGATATTATGACCTGAGCCAAAACCAAGAGTCGGACACTCAACCGACTGAGCCACCCAGGGGCCCCTATAAGATATTTTAAAATAAAATTTAACTATTACTATTTCTGAAAATAATTTTACATGTTCACTATGTACCAGGCCAATATTCCTATGAGGTGGGTTCTATTATAATATATATTTAATTTGAGAGAGAGTGTAAGCAGGAAACGGGTGGTGGGGGAAGGGGGGGGGGAGAGAGACAGAGAGAGAGGGAGGGAGGGAGGGAGAGGGAGGAATCCCAAGCAGGCTCCATGCTCAGCACACAGTCCAATGCAGGGCCTGATCCCACGACCCTGGAATCATGAGCTGAGCTGAAATCAAGAGTTGGAAGCACAATGACTGAGCCACCCAGGCACCCCACAATCTCTGTTTTAGAAATGACTAGATGAGTTTTAGAAAGTTTTAATGAGTTAGCCATTGTCACACATGTGGTAAATAACAGAGCTATTGATTCAAATTAGGATGGTGTAACCCCAAGCACGATATCTATATAACTGTAACAAGCCATCCTTGCAATTTATACAATAAATCTTCCCTCATTCATATAGCATTTATTTGGCAAATATAGAGTTCTATGTTTCTAAATGAGGAAGTGGATAATTGGGATGAAAAAGGAGAAACAGGGAGAGTGGTAAGGAGGCTACCAAAACCATCCAGGCTAACAGTGACAGCCAGGATTTAAGGAGATGAATGAAATGGAAAGAATAGGAAGATGTAAGATGTAGTGCAACATGCCTCACCAAGGGGCTGGAAGTAGGGGTTGAAAAAAAGTGGAATAAAGAATGAACTCTAGGTCTTAGCAATAAGAAAGGTGAAGATAGTATCATATTTACTGAAAGAAGAAGGAACATGTTTTATTCTTGTCTTTCTCTGATGGGGGTTAGTCAGCAATCAAGAGCTCTCTTTTAAACATGTTAATTTTGAGACATCTAAATGGAGGTAGATGGTAAAGCATCTGAGTATTCAAGTCCAGAGTTCAAAAGAGATGTCAGGGGAGCACCTGGGTGGCTCAGTCGGTTGGGCGCTAACTTCAGCTCAGGTCATGATCTCACAGTTCGTCAGTTCTAGCCCCGTATCAGGCTCTGTGCTGACAGCTCAGAGCCAGGAGCCTGCTTCAGGTTCTGTGCCTCCCTCTCTCTCTGCTCCTTCCCCACTAGTGCTCTGTCCCTCTCTGTCTCTCAAAAATAAGCAAACATTTAAAAAAAAAAAAAAAAAGAGATGTCAGGGCTGGAGATATAAACACACGGTCATTTACACATAATTACCTGGGAAGAGAAAATTAATAGGAAAGAAAAAGGGGGCCAAAGACTAAGTCTTTGGGTCTTCCATCATTTATTTTGGGTTGAGAAACAAAGACTATGGAAAGAAACAAAATGAAGTAGGTATGTCACAGAAGCCAAGAGAAGGAAGTGTTTCAGGAAGAAGGCTGCAATGAAAGCCTCTGAGGATGCGTATGATGAAGACAGAGATGATTTGTGGACATGGCCAGGAGGATGGTAACTTTCACAAGAACAGTTTCAGCAAAAGAGAGGATATAAAACCCCACTGAGACAGAGGGGTTAGAACGTCACTGCACTGCACTGGACTGAGGGAAGAATAGAAGATGGGGAAATAAAATTGTCTGAATACAGACAACTCTTGATCAGTTTTGTTAGGAACAGGAATAGAGAAAGAAATAGATAAGTTTATTTAATTGGGCAAAACTAGAAGCTAAATGCAGGTAGAAATGACTCCAAATTTCAATGCAAACAATTTTTAATGTTTGTTTATTTTTGGGGGGTGGGAAGGGGCAGAGAGAGAATGAGACACAGAATCCGAAGCAGGCTCCAGGCTCTGAGCTGTCAGCACAGAGCCCAATGCGGGGCTTGAACCCACAAGCCGCGAGATCACGACCTGAGTTGAAGTGAGACACTCAACTGACTAAGCCACCCAGGAACACCAATGTAAACAATTTTTAGAATTTCAAGAACTTTTCACGCTGAAGTAATATTTAATTTTCTGATTTTGAAGATTTATATATAATAAAATTTTAAGTTCTTCACAACAGACATCTTTTATGACACACAATATGCTGTAGCATAGACAATATCAGTAAAGTTCTTTCTTACCTCTCTAGTTTGATGTTCATTGATAGGCTGGAATCGAGGTACGACCTTAAGTTGCTGTTCTAGTTTCTGTATTTCCTGTTGGAATACATCTCTTTCGTGTTCTCTATCAATGGCTTGCTCCTGAAGTTTAATAACAATAACAGTAACTGAAGAAACAATATATACTGAAGCTATTATTACTGCTACTTCTTTTAGTTATACATACAGTTTTATTTAAGATAAACAACTGACGGCCACAGAATACCCCAAACCAAAAGGTTTCAAAAAAAGAACACCTGTTGTACGGTACATAGTCTATTTGGAATCTTTGACAGGAATGTCTGCATTTAAATATTATTTGAAGCATGACATTTTTAATAATTCAAGTAATATTAAATACAGAATGAGATAAAAATATTCTCCCAAAAATGAATTTATTTTTTTGGAGCAAAGGAGGAATTCCACTGTTAATTTAGTCATTAAAAAAATAGTAAGTAGAACAAACTGTTTAGTAAATCAATTTCTTTCATCCTAATCTAGGTTTTGTATCTAAAATAATAAAATCTGTCAGAATCTGATTCCCTGATATATGAAAAGAATATCAGGTCTTAAGTGAAACCCCAAAGAAGAAAATCCATATGAGGTTAAAGATTTAGTATCATTTTGGAAGACAGTAATGACAGCGTAACAACTGTTCCAAGAGCACAGTGTTACTCTGCGTGTATCTTTTGTGGGTGAAACAGTGTTGGCCAGTTAGCTCTCAGGATCCTCACCCTGCTTTAGCAGTTGGTTAAAGCAAAGTCTTGGACAAGCTTGTTAACTCTGAATTTAGAAAGGCTAACTGGTAGGGTTTACTCATAATCTGCCTGTACTGTTTTTAATTGTCATAGGTATGTAATAAAAATTATTAGAATTTTTATTTGGAATAGTAGTTTTCAGTTAATTGGTAAAAAACACAGGTAGATGAAAATGTTAGAATTCAAGTTTCTTCATAATTTAAAATTCACAACCTAGACTAGCAGCAAGTAAGCACTCCAGTGACAAAATCAATATTCAAGTTGAGAATACTTACATCTAAAAATTTTCTTGTTTTTTCTAACTGCTTTTCCAGTGCTTGGTTTTGCTGTCTTAAATCCATTAGCTCAGCATTCTTTTCTTGTTCCAGCTCTATAAACCTACTGACTTGTTCCTCAACATCTATTTCGAGAGCTTTCACTTGTTTTTGAAGGTCGTCACGTACTTTTTCAGCTTGGCACTGTACTTCTAGTTTTTCCTTCATTAATTTTTCTGTCTCCTGTAGTAATTCTGTTTACAAATATAAAAATATACTAAGTTAAATCAAAGTAATAGTGAAATCACCCATAACAACGCTCAAATTTTACCTTCATGAAATAAGAGATCTGAGTTTTACTTTAAACACACGTAAGAAAGGAAAATGTTCCTATGAAAATATCAAAGCAACATATTCCTATAGAAGCAAGCTAGTATCAAAAAAATTATACCATATTAACAAAAAGAAACATTCTGTCACTAAAAACAGTATTTTGTGAAAATGCCATAGCAAGTGACCAAAAAAAAAAAAAAAAAAAAAAAAAAAAGTCCACTTTCACCATAAGGAAAAGAACAAAGTCTAATTAAATTTAAGCACAGAAATAACTCACCTCAGGCAAAAATCAATTCATTCCAAACCAATAAAGTCACTTTATATGCATACACAATACACATGAAGATCAAAGACTGTAAATTTTTAACCAAGGCAAGTAAGAGTTATAGAAAAAAAAAATACAACTACAATCAATTTCCTGTTAGTCTTTCTCCTCATTAGATCCATATTCCTGAGTTAGTCTTGCACGCTCACACATATATGTATCAAGGGAAAACTGACTATGAGAGGCAGTATGGTGTAGTGCTTAGGAACAGAGACTGTGGATTCAAATCCTAGCTCTGCCACTTATCTCCTGTGTGATACTTAACACGATGTCCTCCAATTTCCTTATATGTAAACTGGGGATAGTAATACTACTGATCTCTACGAGTTATTGTGGATCAAATGAATTAATATATACAAAGAATAGTGCCTAGAGTATGGTAAGCACTATATAAGTGTTAGCTATTATTATTAACATTAGTAATACAACAATAAAGTATACAACAAAGTAAAACAATACTCTAATAATAAAAAAAAAAGGAACATAACCTGAGAGTCCTTACATTAACCAGTCTGCCAATACTGTACTCAGGACTAGGAATCTATAGAAAATAGCTTTCCTTTTAAAACAATAGTGATTTAGATGTTAATATAAAACTAAATGAACCAGAAAGTCTCTTTACTAAATTTCACTGATCCTTGATACCATCATCTTATATATTTCCTGATTTAGAAAGAGCATTTTGAAAAGTCATATGGTGAGAATTTAGTACATTTTGTTTATGTAAGAAACTGAAATTGTCTTAAGCTCTGTGGAAAAACAGATATAAGATGATGATCACTACGAATCTCAGTTGTTAATTTCAAATATAAATATGTATTTTTATTGTAAGAAAAAGTTTTTTGTTAAAGAAAAAAACTGTAAGTATGAAACACAACAGCAAAATTAGAGGTATGTTAGTTGGAAAAGTAGAGGTATGTGATTGAAAATCCAAGGGTCACCCCGTTTTTGGAGTTGTAAGTTTACCACCCAAAGACTGGCCATGCAATTGTATAAACACACCTGCTCCTGGTGCTGCATCGACTGCAGCATCTACTAGTCCTATAAGAATACAAAGAAAAAACACAGACACACAGAACAAAGATAAAATTTACATGTCTACTTCCTAAAACAGAATAATATGTAAACACAAAAGAATTAGAAGTAAAAGTTGAAACCACTGATTATTATCATTTGTAACATTTTGATGTACCAGTATTTCGTGAATGTTTTACATGTATGATACATACACTTTGCACATTAAAAAGACCAACCCTAAACCTGTGTTAAACAAATTTGAGCAACCAGAAACAACTGCACCATATTACAAAAATGCATGCTGTATTTCTCAATTAGCAAAATTCAACTAATAAAACTACACAATTATAATTCCAACTGCATGTGTAATATAAAAGTGGGAGGATGTGATGAAAAGGATTTGAAGTTCCACCGTTATAATGACTGACGTTTTTTTACTGCTAAAAAAACTAAGCTATTACACATAATTTCTCATTTCAGCAAAGATTAAATGTTATTTATAAATTGTATATTCTTTGAACTCGTACACAGATTAAACTAGATGTCAGTGTAACAGTCACTGACCTTTTCAATCTATTCTCTTGCAGGCCGAAATCCACCCCCACCTGCTTGCTACTAGTGCTGGATCAGTGCTCTTTTACTTAATCCAAGTATACATTTTTGCTGCCTTTCTGCTATCAAAAGAACTGAATCTTACACAGTTTAAAAAATATCCTGCCACATTATGCACAGCTGTCTCCTGAGGCAGAAGTTTAAGGAATTATCTTTTCCTGTTAAAATCTGCCAAAGGAAAACAGAAAAAAAAAAAGTCCACATGGCTAATAAAACTTTTATCAATGAAGTAGATTTTCTTGTAATTCTTCAACCCTCATATGAAATACGTGAATCATGGCATTGAAAGGAGAAAAGACCCACTTTGAACTTTTAAGGAATGTTTCATTCACAAAGTCTAAAAATACATACGCTGTTCAACTGGGCCTGCCTCAGCTTTCATAGCCTCTTTTTGTCTGGACAGTAATTCTCTTTCTTCTTGGATCTGCTGTTGTTCTGCTTCCAATTCTTGCAATCTATTACCTGCACATAACAATTCCTGTTCAAGACGATCTATTATATCAGTTTTTTCTTGAATTTGCCTTTCATAAAGAGTTTTTTCATCTGCATAGCCATCAATGACACCTATAAAATAAAATTAACAGGGAACAGGATTAAAACTTACTTTAAATCTTACCATTAGGCGTTCTATAAATATCTTGAATGAATCTGTTGATGACAGCAGCAGTTATGGTACATTCAATGCAGGCTTTTTCTTGTTTAACCTTTGTGCCTAAATATGATGTTCCTTTGAACTTTCTATTACTTTGCTATGCTAAGGTATCATATCATGTACATGATAACTCACTTTATCAAACAGATGTAAACAGACAAGAAAGCTTAATATAAATCAGATGCTTGTAAACCAAGTCACATTTTAAATATACTAGAGAAAGTTGATGTTTTAAGTGATTCTAGAAGGCCAACACCCACAATGGTATGGCAGAATATAAACAGTATGAGGCTTCAGAGGCTTAAAGCCCAGCATCACCATTTAATGGTTACCATGAACTATCTATCTATCTACCTATCTACCTATCTATCTATCTAGGTAGGCTTCACACCCAACACAAGGCTTGAACTCACGACCCTGCGATTAAGGTCTGAGCTGAGATCAAGAGTCAGATGCTTAACCAGCTGAGCCACCCTGGCGCCCCAACCTTGAACAATTTATTAACGTCTTTTGGCTTCAGTCTTTCCATTGCTAAAGTACAAGACTTGTCTTAGGACGGTGGAATTTTGGTAACAAATCACCATCATCCATTTCTATATTTTCTAAAAATTTTAATGCTTTCTATAATTCTATTAAACACTTTTTGATAATTAAAAATATATAGCTTTTAAAGTTGCTTGGAGAAAGTCTGAAGACAAATTACAACTATGTTTCAGTGCTCACCCTACATTAGAATACACTTGTGATTTCTAAATTTGGCTTGCATCGAAATCTCTACTTTTAAACTTGAAATTTTTCCACACTCAGTTGCCAATAGCAAATTGCTCACCCTCAGCCTTACTGAGCTCCACAGCCAGCTGTTCTCTAGCCCTGGACTCCTCATGAAGGCGCTCTCGCAATTCTTCTTGGCACTTAAGGGACTCTGTCACTTCTTGTTTCTGTCGAAATGACTCCCGCATCAACTCTGTCTGTGTAACTTTCGCATGTTCAAGCTAAACGAGGAGGGAAAGCATACATGAAGGAAGACAAAGTGTTGGGAATACCCACTAAAGTTTAACAAGAAAGGGTTTTTAAATAAAAATAAACTGTTGAACTGTAACCATTTAATATTTCTAGTGCATGCTAACATTAAATGGGGATAGTCAGTATACAAGTAGATTACCTACATATAACTTTCCATAAGAGATGTATTCTGGTTTTATTAAACAAACAAAACAATGCTTCTTTTGGGGGTGCCTGGGTGGCTCAGTTGGTTAAATGTCCGACTTTAGCTCAGGTCATGATCTCATGGTTCGTAGGTTCGAGCCCCATGTCGGGTTCTGTGCTGACAGCTCAGAGCCTGGAGCGTGCTTCAGATTCTGTGTCTCCTCTCTCTGCCCCTCCCCCACTTCCACTCTGCCTCTCTCTCTCTCAAAAACAAATAAACATTAAAAACAAAATAAAAAAAATGCTTCTTTTGGAAATAAACCAACTTATATCACTACATCTGTATTCTATAATATAAAGAAAGATATAAAGTTAGTAACGCATAGGCTCTTTATTTGTGGAAGAATTTTATGTGATTGTGCTCTATGTAAAACTTAATTTCTTTTGTATTTAACATTTATTGATTGTGGACTCCTGCTGTAAATTGTGAGGAATATATGATTCATATAATGGCATCAATTAACAAAATCATAGTGTCATAACAAGATGAAAAAAATTATAACCCACATTTTAACTAAAAGCTTTATATTTCTATCCAACTGTGAAACAGCTACAAGACTTTATATGAATATTCAATTTATTTTCAAAATCTTACAATACAGAGGCATTACCCGTAATTACTCATAAATACAGCCTCTTTTTAAATGCTGTTATTGGCATGACTACATTCTTAAACAATTTTTAAGATGACAGTCAAGTACAGACTCAAGGCCAAAGCTCTCAAAAAACAGTGATCATTGTTATCAGCTCCATGGAATTACAGAAAAGCACCATCTCTGCCTTTGTTTTCTGAGCTTCTGACTGTCAGCACTTGTTTATCAGTTCTTATTTTTAGTTAAACTAAAAACTGAGCTCAAATGTTTCTAGTATTTAGTCCTATAACACTAAAAATTTTGAAAAAGCAATCACCGTATATATATACATATTAAAAATAGGCTGACAATGTCATAAGAATTTGTAAAATTATAAAGTAGAAAGATATTACCATGTTTTATGTTTTAAAAAATGCAGTGGTTTCTAATTTATAGACAAATATCAATAATGTATTATCAAATTATGATATTTAAGAATATTTTATTTTTAAAGACTTCTGCTCTTCACATCTGAGTAGTATTTACCATAGCAAACACATTTTAGAGTTACTAAATAAAGCCTTTTATGGTCACTCTAAGTCAATTTCCAAAATATCAAGTATGTGATTGTTCTTGTTTTATTTAATAGGATGTGTTAAATATTATTTACAACTTACTACTTGGAGATAATATGAATACACATTTAAGACTTGTAATGGATAGTTGAGCATACATTTCAAATCACAAAATATTTCCTAAAACATCTGTCATGTCAATGCTACCTCAACAAAGATAAAACTATATATATTTCTACTTTTGACTGGGAAAAGAGTATTTTCTTTTAAATGTAGATAACTAATAAACATTGATTTTTTACTATAAAGAACATGATCACAAAGTATGAACTAACTTATATATAATTACTCTTTTGAATTTACAGTCACAGCCTGTATTTTTAAAACATATCAATTGTTTCTACATATGTAGATAGGTAACTTTTTCTGTTTATTATAAAGTGGTTGCCTGGTAAATACATGAAAACTCTGAAAGAGTTCAAAGCTCTGACTAAAAAGGATAGTTTCTTATTCCTTTTTCAAACTTACTGTACAAGAAGCATTCAGCATTTATAAAAAAAAATACTTGATTTACATAAGAAAATTGTTTTTGCTTCTATGTCTACTTCTTAACAAGATCTAAAGCAGCTTTTAAATGCATTTAAATAGTTAGCATAGAACCATGAGAAATAGCTTTAGTTTTGCAAAACAAAACAAAAAAATTAAAGAATCAAGTACAGTAAAGCTAGCAAACAAATTTCATTTATTATAGCAGATGGTACTCATACTTTACTGGAATAAGAGACTCCCCTTTCAAATGTTCATCTAAATATAATTTAAAAAGCCTCTTCTATCCTGTTAAGTTATGGCTTATTCCTAATACCTAACAATATGAAATACATAAAAATTTCATTTCAGTACTTCTAAATAAGTTAAGAAACTTATTATATTAAAAAGCATTACATTATAAAGCATCAATAAATATAGTGTCACTTTAATATAAAAGTTTCAGGGGAGGTAACAAAACTTCTGAAAACCATCTGTCTTGTTAAATATTAGCTAGTGCATTACAATTAAAGCCACGAAAGTTGTAAAAAGTGCTGAATAACTTGTAGTTATATTGAATAACTTGAGGTGAATCATTCACAACATTATTTATGTGTTAAATAAACCTGAAGTACTACCTATGCTAAGTACTTACCCTTAACAATGTTTATAAAATACATGTCACATAAAAAGTAGAAAACAGTATTTCCTCACAGGATTAGTAGGCATATTAAAAATCAGTTCCTTATGAGTTAGCAAGAAAATTAAAATTAGAATCCAGATTTTCTTTTTCCTTGTCTGGAACTACAGCCAATACACCATATGATTGTAAACAATTCCTAACTGGCTCACTTGGCTGTTTTAAGAATCACAATGCCTATTGCCTTTTAATCACTCCGTTTTTACTCAGGATTGGCACCATAAACATATAAAAGCAAGATTCTTAAGGAGAAGCAGGATCTTTTTAAACAGCTTGCCTGGCATCAGAGAACTGTAATACTATCTCACTCTGCTTTCTGGAATCAAAAACATAGCCAAGATGGGGCTCTTAGAACAAATTTAGCCCTTCAATACATCTAGGATAAATGAGTAGTAACATATGAAACAATAACAAAACACGATTCTATTCTACTTAAGGACATTGAAAGTTCATTTCTCATTATACGGGTTTTTAAATTAGATGTATAAAAAACTGACAGCATGAACTAAAACTAAAAGAAACCAAGTTTTTTATACTTACTGAATAAGGAGGGGTAGGCAGTGAAATTTTAGAAATAAGTTTTAATATGTGCCCATTTCTTTTATGAATAAAATGAAAAATAGAAGTATTAATAATTACTGAGTTATTTTCATCCAAATGTTCACACAGAGGAAAAGGATATGGTAAAGGCACACGAGATTCAACCTCATAAATGTCTTCATCTTGTTCTTCCAACCATGAGCCACTGAGTTTGACAGTTGCCAAATAGGTCCTGTAAGAATCCATTCTAGAAGATGCAGCTGCCAATTTTCCTCACTCGCTTTAACAGTTTTCCACTACATTAAAAAGTTCTTTTTAGTTTATCAAGAGACACCATAGTTGTATGAAAATTTCTTTTTAGTACTATCAAATAAACATTTTATTAATTCATACAACTGAACAACAAAAGAAAAACCCCACAAATCTATTTTAAAAACTACATCTCCATGAGTCTTCGTCAAAAACAAAAGAAAAACAAAGACAACAAAAATAAAACACCTTTTTAACGAGAATAATTAAATCCTTGAATAGAAGAATGAAAATATAAATATCTAATCAGCTGAGCAATAAAACTGCTTTCAGTATCAAACATATCTGTGGAAATAAGCCTTCCAAACAACCTGGCAGGGAAGGTTGAGTTTTAAATCTCCATAGTAGCAGTCTTCACAAGTGTAGCTGCAACATTATTTCCCTTGTTCTTGCTGCTTCACTCAATTCAAAAGTAAAAGCTCCTCGGAACTGAGCTATTCAAATAGCCTCATGCTGAGCCAAAGGATTCTAGTCAGTGTCCCCTGAGGAAAAGGTCAGAACAGAGGGTGTGGTTTCATGTCTTTACCTATAGGTACTGGCAGGTGGAGTGTGAATTAATACGCCCACAAAAAAGCCTGCCTAACAGGATCCAAGTTCCACGTCAGAGCTTTGAAAAGGGTATTTAGACACGTTTATGATGTTTCTAAGATAAGCTAGTATTTTTCCATCCTATTCAAAAACTGTTTTAATTTGAAAATGTGAAATCAAGTAGGTTTGAGTCTAATACCAAGTAGTTCTTAAAGTATATCAAATAATCATAATTATTTCTAGAAAACTAAGTTAGTACTTCCTTTTGATATTTCCTTAAAATAATACTCATTCTTTCAAGCAGTCACTAGAACTAAGTATAGATAGTTTAGTTATAACCTATTTCTACACTGAATTGTTATTTTTTTTATTTTTTTAAAATTTTTTTATTTTTTTTTTCAACGTTTATTTTATTTTTGGGACAGAGAGAGACAGAGCATGAACGGGGGAGGAGCAGAGAGAGAGGGAGACACAGAATCGGAAACAGGCTCCAGGCTCTGAGCCATCAGCCCAGAACCTGATGCGGGGCTCGAACTCACGGACCGCGAGATCGTGACCTGGCTGAAGTTGGACGCTTAACCGACTGCGCCACCCAGGCGCCCCTACACTGAATTGTTTTTAGAGTGAATGTTAAGGGGAAAAAAAATAAAAGCTGCATTATATATAACTCTCGGTAGTTACACCACTTAAGATACTCTATGAACACGGACTAAAACTCAAAAGGGCAAGTTGCATATAATAAATGTCAGTGATACTGAATAAACTAAACACTCAGAGTTTTAAAAGATGAACTTACTTTTTAACATCAAAAGATCCTCAATAGTGAAAGTTGTTTCAAATAAATGAAAAAGCTTTCATTGTGGTGCCTTTTCTCTATCCAGTAACTAAATAGCCTAAACCCAAAAAACCAAAACCTTTTATCTACTATGGAAAAAACCCTACTAAAGCAAGCAGGTAATATAAACAAAAATCCATTTTACAGCCATTTTCACTATATGCAATTATTTAAAGGAGTTAACACTCAAAGCCTTCATAGT